ATTTTCTCGCATTTCATTTAACAGCTGTTTAATCACTTTTGTTAATTCTCCTCAAGGTAGGTTTCACTAAGACTTGACATTATCCAGAAGAGTGGTGACAGTGAGCAGATACATTTTTGGGTGTTTCATCCTATTTCACAAATCAATACTTCTGAACACGGACGACCCCATCATGAACCAAAATCAGAGCTATCCGAGTTAAATGTTAATATGTTACTACTGTTGTCTAATAGATCTTTCTTCATCTAATGTTCCCTAACCTCCAACAATTGGTTAACTGTGATATAGTGGTCCAGTGTTACTAGACAGTAATTATTGTAACAGCTAACTTGATGGACCAATTAAATCATATATATATATAATCCAGCAGTCTCGCTAACCCCCGTAATTCCCTTTTTTAGACCTATCATACATCTTTAGACAGCGTCGGTGGTTCAGCTGTAGAATGCTCGCCAACCACGCACGTGGTCAGGTGTTCGACCCCCGGCCGACTCACTCCTCTACCTCGCTAAGGCGGTGATGAGACGGGTAAAGAGAGAAGGTTAGGCAACCCCATTGTGTAAAAATAAACATCACTGCTTATGAAACTTCAAAGCTACATTTTGAAGCCGTATGTAGCACTAAGAGTGTAGAGGAATATAATGATAGTAATAACGATAATAACGATCTCCTAGATAAATAATTCAGTTGTAAGAATATACTGACAGTGATACTGTTTTTAGGTGCATTGCAGTTGGCAAGCACCACACCTATGAAATAAAGTGATGAAGTCATATTATCTTGATCAGTTAATTGTTTCTACTTTTGTTATACACTACGGTTCATCACTGAACAGAGTTTAGAATGGCAGTGACCACTCTATCTCAACTTCATCGACTTTGAAAAAGCCTTCGACAGCGTCGATCGAGAGGTGATTTGGCAACTACTTCGCTACTATGGAGTGTCGCCAACAGTTATACGTCTCATCCAATAATTTTACGACAATGCTGCATGCCAAGTAATAAGTAGCAGAAACTCACGGAATCCTTCGAAGTGAAGATGGGAGTAAGACAAGGCTGCCTACTATCACTAATGATTTTCCTGATTGCAGTAGATTGGATAATGAGACAAACAGCATGCAGCGAGGAAACAGGCATAAAATGGACCCACACAAAAGACTTGGAGGATCTGGACTTCGTCGATGATATATGTCTGGTTTGCCACAAACTGGAAGATATGCAAGTCAAAAGCAACAAGTTGGCAGAAGAAGCATCCAGAGAAGATAGGACGTCAGGTGAACATAGAGAAAACCAATGTTGTGATGAAGATTCCTAGCCAAAAACAACAGCAACAACAACAGACGAAAATCAGCATAAATGGGAGAAATCTAAAAGAGGTAACTTCCTTTACCTACCAACCGACCTGGGAAGCATCGTTTCAACTACAGGTGGAACCGACGAGGATATCAGAGGAAGGATCGGGAAAGTAAGACAAGCTTTCACTACTCTCAAGTCTGTGTGGAGATCAGCAGTGCCCATCATGAAAAATAAGATCCGTATTTTCAACTTCAATGTGAAGCCAGTCAGTGCTACTATGCAGATCAGAGACTTGGTGCGTCATGAATGGTACTTCCAACAAATTAGAGACCATCATCAACAGTTGTCTTCGTTCAATACTCAAGATCAGATGGCCAGAAAAGATCAGCAACAGGGATCTCTGGGAGAGAACCAACACAGCGGGAACCAATTGTGTATCAAATTTGTAGGAAGAAATTGAGGTGGATTGGCCATACTCTAAGAAAACAAACCATCAGGTGACATCACTAGACAAGCCATTGCTCGAGTGGAACCCGAAAGGGAAGCGGTGAGTTGGTCATCAGTGCAAGGATGGAGTGACTTGGAGGAGGACAGTTGAAGGGGAGGTGAAGGCATGTGGGCAGACGTGGAGCCAGGTGAAAACTTTAGCAGAGAACCAAACGCAATGGAGACATGCAGCTGAAGCCCTATGTTCCTCTAGGAATTAAAGGAAATAATAATGATACTTTTGAATAAGGCATTAAGAAGACAAATTTCGCGAGATGATGCCATCATTTCGCAGTTTCTTTACAAACGCTTTACAACTAACATGGTTAACAATAATAAAATAAAGTTCATGACAATTACTCAGTTAAATAAAAACAAAAGTACATACTAATGACCAATCCTATTTAGACAGGTCATGTAGTCCATGGTAGGCGAAGATTGAAGTCTATTGTTTCTTGTACACACAGTTTAGGCTGTATGTGATTAATCCCCAAAATGCTTCCATCACCTTCAATAACCTTGAATTAGAGTTATGTGAAATAATTGTAAAACAGTCATTAATATTTTTATTAAATGAGTAATTGTCATGAACTTTATTTCATTATTGTTAACCATGTTAGTTGTAAAGCGGTTGTAAAGAAACTACGAAATGATATCATCTCACGAAATTTGTCTTCTTAATGCCTTATTCGAATTTATCAAAGGGACTAATTGTTTCAATGATACTTTTGTTAAAACCTTTAGTTTATTTTGTGTAAATCTGAGGGAAAATTATTATAACTTCACAGTAATAGAAGAGAGGAACTGAGAACAGGATAAAACGGGTTAGAATTTGTCAGTTACAACTTTCGGTATCCAGAATAATCTAAAATATACAAGTGTAGTGAATTCTGAATAGAATTTTGGTTTCCGTCGCTATAAGAAATTTGGGAAAATTGACTTGATTTAATTATTTTCAACAATGATTCTCTAACTTGTATCGATTCGTGATAATATATCTACCCTGGAATTAATCAGAATCCCTACAAAGCATAAAATCCGATTATAAATCTGTAGCTCACTGGTGACTATGGAATGAAAGTCCTGAAGTTCTCATGGCTGATGAGATCCACCATTTCAGACAGAAGTGGACACTTATCAACAGCAATAGTTGCTGGTAGCACTATATCGCGAATCACAGAGGTTAGAATTCACCAGTTATCGGAATCCAGTACACTGGCCATATATGGTCAATGGGCTACTTTTGTAACCTAAAAGTTCTGCGTTCGACTCCTGGTGGAGCAATGGGTGCATTCTGATGAAGAGAGCAGAACTAGTATTCAGCAGCTGCCCAGTGTTCCTTCTTTTTCAGTGACTTTTGGTTGGTTACGAAGTCTTTATCAAGCTGATGTTTAGCTAGATGTGTTTTTGTATATACATCGTTATGTTTAAGTTATTTGAAACTGTATTAGACAGGACAGATTCTCAGTAAACTAGTTTACCAGACATCTACTTATTCTGTGAGGATCAATAATACTATCCTGTGGCCATATCTTACACCACTGAGGCAAGTTTCGAACCCTAAACCCTTTGAAGATCTAATGTTTAAGCTGGTAAGACATGTCTCCACATGGCTTTTCCCGTGTCAAACACACTGTCTATCTTAAGGGACACCTAAGTGAATTAAATAGTTTCCAGATGGCGACAGTTCATCTTTTATTTGTCTTCACGAGATGACACAACAAAAACAAACGTTTTACGCACAATGCCGTCAGTGGTAACAGTCAGTTTTATTTGTTTATTATTTTATTATAGTCAGTATTTCCTTTCTAATGTTGCTGTCTGTAAATCCTTGTCTCATAATACTTCCATGTTTCAATGTGGTTTGCAAAGTCTGTTATTTATGACTACGGACTGTCTCTAAAGTCTGACAATGAGATATCATCAAGGGAACTTAATCAGGCTTTATAACTTCCTATTCATAGTTAAAAGAGTGTTCGAGATTTGATGTTGCTCTCTATGTCCATGATTTCTACAAAGACACAAAGTTTGGCATTAATGTTTCGTCGTGTGATTTCGAGTTCAAGTTATTTATGATAATAAGGTTGGTATTCCTATACAGACTCATCACTACAGTCAGTTATACTGTTTGGTTCACATACCAGTTTATGAGCTATACAATTAATGTGTGACGACTTACAATATGACATAGTAGCTAGACTGAAGTAGGTAAATCGGTATTCGACTTGGGATCTTCAGCCAGTAAGGCAAATTATCACTCAGTTACACTTATGGTGTTCAGATACCACAGTCAAATTGGAGCTAAACCTGGATAAATTTCATTTATGTTTAAAGACCGGCCAGAGGAAAGTAGCCATATTGACAAACAGAAGAGAACCTTATCAGTGATCTCTCGAGTAAATGAAGGAAATCTTCATTCAGGGTAATCGTCCTACACTGGATGTTGGCGAACGCCGCAAATGGAGGTCAACTCAAATCGAGCAGACTACTGATCTTCTGTTTGCTTAATGGAAGAGGTGTTATGTGAGAGTACAGAAGTCTGTCACAAAGAATTCACATTTCAGTTGATAATGTCATCTGTCACACGCGTTCGAAGAATATCAAGAAGTGATAGATGGCCACCGGCACATAACGCACATATAAACTTAATTCACAAGTAAATTTCACCAACCAACCAAAATCGACCTTTCAGATATTAGAATCCATTGATTATTGGACAGATGTTTTATCCTACCATCAAGGTCCTCAGTAGTGTGTGCACCTTCCACTCTCACTCCCCTAGACTTCCGAATTCATGATCATATGGCACGGTGAGCGTATTCACAAATAAGAGTGAAACGGTTGCTCATTGTTCCAAGGTTGTCAGTGCTTCTATAACTGATGTCAACATTTTTTTTTAACGAAATTTATCGTGATGTCAACCAAACTGTTAAGAAGAAGAGTCAACATCAAGGTTTTTCAATTTTTTTTATATATTTCTTTCAAAACACATTATTTTATCTTTCAAAGATCATTTAAAGTTTGTTTATCAAAAGAAACAAAGGAAAAAATCAATAGGAAATGTTACATCATTTTTGAATGGTTTGTAAATAAAAGATCACAACTAAAGTGAGTAAAAGAAGTCGTTTTTCTTGGTTTTATTTTTATACTACTGATTGTCGTTTTTAGTAGTATTTTTATTTTCTTTAAAAAGATCCAATTGTTTGTAGTATGACATTATCAATTAGTACAGTCTTCTGTTTCCTCTACTAGAACATCATCAGATTGTTGTTTCCAAAATGCTCGATGTACAAACACTTGTCTTGGAAGCTGAATAGTAGTAGTAGTGTAAGAAGAAAAGTTTTTTTAGCAATTAATATATTTTTTCTTACTTGTGAACAATTAAAGTTTTAAGTTTGACGATGGATTTATATTAGTTTGAGAAGCATTAGAAACCAGGTAGTAATGCACATCTGTTTCGTTCTAGTTTCGGACTCATTGACACTGCTCACTCACGGTTGGGGTTCGAACCCAGGACTCTAGGGTTACATATCAAGCTCATAGACCTTTCAGCCACTGGGATCCAACTAAATAGCCAGCCTATTGATTACAACTTCTTTAAATATTCCCATTAATAATTAAGGAAGAAGATATATAAGCGATATTATCAATATTTTGTTATCATTATAATCATCGTTATTAACGACGTTCAAAACATTTATCATATTATTATTATTTGATCCACAAAATCACTGTCATTGGTTAAAATTGTTATATGTAAATCTATGTAAATTAGAGTAAAGCTTGAAGAAGATCTGATTGAAAACAGCAATATTGTTCGCTTATATGTCTTCTTATTATTATAACTACTACCAGTTAGTGACTTTAGCGCGACCACCAGCCAATGTCATCGGCGGCTAATTATCCTCACTCCAAACCGCATGGACCCTACTGGTCACAAATTCTTACTAGGAGTCACTCCACGCAACTTCTTCCTGTAGCCAGACAGTGACTAGCGATCATCATCATTTTCATGAGTTCATTTGTATTGATTTGACCTGTCTCAAGTTTAATTACGAATTCGTAAAAGTTAGAATCCATGCAGTAACCATTGAGTCGGGTCCCAGTGGCCGGATAGTTTACAAGCTTGCCTTGTAACTGGAACGTCCTGCGTCCCATCCTGGCGGTGGATGCATGCTGCCGACGAGTCCCAAATTAGGACGAAACAGCTGTCCAGTACTCCATGGTTTTCAGTACTTCTCTAACGGACATCGTTCCATTATCAAACCTGAAGCGAATCAAATCCCTACAAAAACAAACTCTTGAAGGTCACAGAATATCGACTGAATTTAACTGACAGATTTCCGTATGAAGCACCCAAGTGTCAGGGCACCATACCTAAGGCTAACTGACTGTAGCTATGATGACAGTAGCATGAAGTATAATCCTTATGAGTAGGAAGATACACAGGTGAAATTTGGTTGGCAGTCACCACCTGCGGAGTTGATGATGTGCACTTCGTTCTCATTGGGATGCATCAAATAAGTACGTCAATATACCTGATGGATGGTGGTATTCTTACTGAGACTGGAACACTGACATTTCAAATGATGGGATTTGTATTCCAATATCAACAGTAACATAATCAGTCACTTGGAATGCAGATAAATCTAACTGGTGAATGAATCCCGAATAGGACGCAATATGCATCCTGTATTTCACTGCAAGCCACGATCGGCTAATGTTTACTGAAGTCATATACTATTGGTTACAGGATTTCATCATGAGCTGACATTGGTTAGAGAACCATTGGAAAACCTGGGAGTACTGGACAGCTGTTTCCTACGGCCTAGTTTGGGACTCTTCATCGGTACGCACCCGCCACCATGGTTCGAACCCAGGACCTTCTGGTTACAAGGCGAGCTCGTATACCATTAAGCCACTGGGACCCGATCCAATGGCCCATGAATTCTAACTTTTGCCAATTCACGATATAGCGCAACTGCTAGCCGAAGACATTAGTGCGTACTGATGAAGAGTCCCAAACTAAGACGAAACAGCTGTCCAGTACTCCCAGGTTTTCCAGTGGTTCTCTAACCAATGTCAGCTCATGATGAAATCCTGTAACCAATCAACCAAATCCCTACAAACCAATACTTGAATCATATACTTTTGGCTGACCACTCACACAAATAGTAATACTCGCTAGCCAGATAAGGGTGACGTAACCTCCAGACAGCTACAGTTTTCACTTGTTTAAGACTAGTCTGCCAATAAGTAATCTAGTGAAACAAAACCGGAATGAATTTAATGCACATTCCGACTCTATCTAGCTAATTGTGTGAATTATCAATGCATAGAACCAATGAAATTCATTATTCTCTAATTACAGTATTCAAGATTAAAGTCTATCTTATACATGTGGTAATATAAATCAAGAAAAAAGTGGGAATCATTAAATACAGATATACTGAAAACTTACACGATGAAATTGTTGCATACTTCTTGTTCGATACTTTCGTACTCCTGCGTATATCACTAATATACTCAGACCACATATTAACAATATCGAAATAGTTATCAGGATGATAACATAAGTTTCAATCTTATATACATACTAAAAATGAGCAAAAAGAATGGAATTTGGGTAAATACCAGTTTTTAATTATTATATATATATAATGGTAGTCAAACCTCTACCTCAACTTCCTCCATCGACTTCGAAAAGGCCTTCGACAGACAGCGTTGACCAAGAAGTAATTTGAAAACTACTTGAACACTACGGTGTACCTCAAGTCTTTTTCAACCTCACTCAACAGCTGGCTACATGACAATGCCATTTGTCAAGTGATCCAGAACGGAAAACTCAGCGATGCGTTCGAAGTGCATACAGGAGTAAGACAGGCTGGCTGCCTGGCTATTATCACCGATGATATTCTTAATGGTGGTGGACTGGATTATGCGTCAGATGTTTTGGGGGCAGGGAGTCAGGAATACGCTGGACGACCGGTAAGAAGCCTCTAGAAGATCTGGATTTCGCAGATGATATATGTCTAATGTCACACAAACTTGAAGACTTGCAAGCGAAAACCAACAAACTGGCTGAAGAGGTAGCGAAAACAGGACTGCAGGTGGATACAGAGGAGACGGAGGTGATGAAGATAACCAACGAACAGAAACAACAACCAGCACCAATCACCATCAACGGGAGAGATTTAACTAAGGTTGTCTCCTTCACTTATTTGGGAAGCTTCATTTCAACTACAGGCGGAGCGGATGAAGATGTCAAAGTCAGCCAGGATCGGAAAGTCAAGATACTCCTTCACCAACCTGAAACCAGTTTGGAAATCTTCCGCACTCAGCATAAGGAACAAGATTCACATTTTCAACACCAATGTGAAGTCGGTCAGATCTTATATACGGGTCAGAAACTTGGCGTGTCACGAAAAGGATTTCCAACAGGTTACAGACTTTTGTCAACAGCTGCCTGCTCTGGCTCCATACTGAAGATCAAATGGCCAGAAAGAATAAGCAACAAGAAATTATGGGAACAAATCAACCAGGAGCCGATCGCTCAACAAATATGCAGGAGAAAGTGGAGATGGATCGGGCATACATTGAGGAGGCCGCCGAATGACATCGCACGCCAGGCCCTCGAGTGGAATCCCGTTAGCGAGTGACGAGTGGGTGGTCCTAAGGTGACATGGAAGAGATCGTGTGAGGAGAGATGAGAGAGTCTGGTCAATCGTGGACCCAGTTGAAGAGGACGACAGAAAACAGAACGAAGTGGAGATGTGTTGTTGAAGCCATATGTTCCACTCGGAACACAGGGGAATGATATATATATATATACCATTTATATAATTCATAAATAGCTTACAATCTCAATATTTTGGCGAATTTAGCTAGGCTCCTATGCTATATACTATTGACTGATTGATATAAGTAGTTGGCAAGGGATGGTGTCTTACTACAGCTGTAATATGTACGAACATTCTGTCTCATTCGTCTGTGGTGGGACAAAAACAAATCACATGTCGTCACATAAGGAGCATCAACCAATCACAACCCAGCATGCAGACAATGCCTACTAATCAACCTTGTGACTGGAACAATGTATCCCATACATGTTTGTCTTACACTTTCTGGCCAAAGTAAAGAATAGACACCAAAGTCGAACGACCTCGAGGCAACCAATCAGATCTCTCGGCATTACAAATGCACGCCTTTCATAATCTTAGCTAATCTTCCTTCCGAGGTGCACTCTAACCGTAATCTTCCTTACAAGATTCACTCTAACCCTTAAATGTAACCCTAATTTAAACCTATCCTAATCTTAACCCTAAATCAGGATGAAACTTGCAACGGAGATTATGAAAAGCATCGATTCGTAATGATGAGCCATCTGATTGGTTGACTCAAGGTCGTTTGATTCTGGTGTCTATTCTAGTCTGTTGCTCACTGTTGCGATAACCACACTACCAATGTTTTGTTTTTTCCATTATTCTTGAGTCGAACATAAAGCTTTAAACTTTATATGCGACGAACTTATCAGACAAAACATCAGTGTTGGCATTCATATATCGTTTATGAAAGAGCTTCTTTCGAAATGCACAATGATTGTTCACCTTTCTATTTATTCTATCAATTCGACTGCTTCCGTGGGGAGCTAGTTACATAGAACAACAATTAGGCGTGTTTATCGTCGGATATCCGGACGTCATCATGCATAGTTAAGCAAGGGATAAAAAAAGTCCATTCATAGTTCATTTCTATCTTATCTCGTCAGTATAGAACAAAAGATTGATGTTAACAAGTCTTTCGAAGTCATCTACCGTATACCGAATGCTAATCTGAATTTTACCTCGATGATTTCGTCTATTGCACATGTTACTGAGGCTGTCGGAATACTCATTAAGAAGCCTGACCTACGTATTGAAGAGAATGAGTTGGTTCAGAAGCTTTCATTGCCAAGGCCCTCTGTAATTCAACTATTCTTACTTAATTCGTTGTATAAATTTCCCTCTGAATTTTATTTGATATTCTATTTAGTATTGCATTTTCTATATTTATTATTACAACTAATGCATCCTTCTTGAACTGTAGTTTCACTGATCTTAAGTCGATATTATTTGGACAAAATCAATATTGTTAATGACGATTATTCTGGAATATTATATATATATATACGGGTGTAATAACTGAGGGAGAAATGGGAATCTGCATTTCTGAAGGACTCGAACCAAAAGCCTCTGAGTTACTTATCCAAATCTTCTACTTGTCACAGTACAACACCCATCCGCTAACCATGTTATCCCTTGACTGCAGTCAACACTGACAACGCCCACTACACAGGCTTTCCAACTAGGTCATCTCCTGTCAGTCCTATTCATTGTAAATACGAGGAAGTGGAGAATGTTGTTAGGCCACGGGATGACACATATTTTTTCAAACACAATGTCAAACAGACAACAGAAGCTTACCTCTGTACGTTTTAATGCACCAGATAAGTAGTACATTTCACCGTTGACAAATTTTACAGTTTCAAATTGAGCAATAAATCCATCGATAGACAACGTTCCATTCTGTGAAAAGAAGACAAAAATGCATTATACTCTCCAAATCTTGCATAATTTGTGAACAATTAAAAGAAAGGTGCTGACTGAATACTTTATCCACTAAGGTTAATAACTACTTAGAAGTAAATCATATGGTCAAAAAGCCCTAAAAACTAGGAACTCTTGTAGCCAGTTAACAAACAACCCATTAGTCAACAAATATACCGAAAGAAATGGAGATGGATCGGGTGTACGCTGAGAAGACCACTGAGTGATATCGTGCGACGGACCTTTGAGTGGAAACTGAATGGGAAATGGTGAATTCGGCGTCGCTTCAAGGGTGACATGGAGGAGAATGTGTGAATGGGAGATGAAAGTCTATGGGAAATTGTGGAGCCAGTGAAAGAGGACTGTAGAGAACAGGGGGAGAAAGTGAAGATATTCTGTTGAAGCCCCCCAAATTTAAAAGATTAGCAATAATATGATAAATATCTGTAGCTAATTAAGACTGAACTGAAACCACTGAGCCCATAATTATTCATTAATACTATTTGATTGATTTATTAAAAGGACATGACGAACTTATGCTTTGGAGGATAGTGTGGATATTTATTCAGATTTCAATAAGGCATTTAGAAGACAAATTTCGTGAGATGATATCATTTCGTAGTTTCTTTACAACCGCTTTACAACTAACATGGTTAACAATAATAAAATAAAGCTCATGACAATTACTCAGTTAAATAAAAAACGAAAGTACATACTAATGACCAATCATATTTAAATAGGTCATGTAGTCCATGGTAGGCGAAGATTGAAGTCTATTGTTTTTTGTACACACAGTTTAGGCTGTATGTGATTAATCCCCAAAATGCTTCCATCACCTTCAATAACCTTGAATTAGAGTTATGTGAAATAATTGTGAAACAGTCATTAATATTGATTTTGTGACCTGACATTAATAAGTGCTTTGCAATGGATGATGCTGGATTTCTATTCAGATTACTCGCATTGGGATTTTCTATATGATTTAGTAGCCATTTTGGAACATGTTCTTTTCGACGATATTGGAACATTCTGTTGGTTCTACCTATATAGGTGTCACCGCAGCTGCAGGTGAACTTGTAGATACAGTTTGAAGTAGAGTCCACAGAATTTCGTCCTTTAATCGTAGGTACAGGGATCGAAAATGTTCGGCATGTGAGAAAAAGAGATGCGGCGTAGGATGTGCGTTTGATGGCTGACCGAAGTCTTTGAGTCGTCAACTGCATAATCTGGTCACCCTTGAATGGTAGGTTAATAAAGATAGCTTTCTTTGGTACAGAAGCTGTCTTTTCGAGATGTGGTCTTTCTTTACTGTGACAAGTGATAAAGTTTTTCGGATAACCATTAGCTAATAAAACTGAATGTATATGTCGAAACTCATCCATCACTGTGTCACTCGTGCATATTTTTCGGGCACTTGAGAACAAACATTTCACTTGGGAACGTTTATACTGGATAGGAACAAAACTGGTGAAATGAAGATATTGTCCACTCCATGTCTGTTTACGAAAAATAGATCGCTGAATCGTTCCATCATCTCTCCTGGTCATTGTAATATCGAGGAAACCGAGTTTGTTATTCGATTCGAGTTCGGAAGTCACTCGGATATTTGGATGAATATGATTAAATAGGGTAATAAAGTTTTCAATAGATTTACTATTATTACCAATAATGAGAGTATCATCTACATAACGTTTATACAGTATAAATTCTCCAAGCATACCTTGCATTTGTTTTTCCAATTTTGACATGAATATATCTGCAAACAGGGGCCCAAGAGGGCTCCCTATCGCAACACCATCGATTTGTTTGTATGCCTTTTCTTGGAAGGTGAATCTAATATTTTCTGTACACATTAAGATGATGTCTCTGATGTAAGTGACAGGAATAGGTAAGTTTATCCCATTGCTTGTGATGTAATCGCAAATGAAATCAACAGTTTCATGAAGAGGAACATTGGTGAATAAAGATTCTATGTCGATTGAGCACATAACCTTTTCCTTAATATTCTAGGTCTCTAGCATATCTGTCAGATCAAACGAACTTTTAACAGAATGATTTGATAATGAGTCTCTTACAGGTGTAAGGACCTCTGTAATCCATTTTGCGATTTTATAGTATGGAGAACTCGACATGTCTAAGATGGGTCTCAGTGGGTTCCCAGTTTTGTGGATCTTCGGAAGGCCATAAAGCCGGGGCGTATGTGACCCAGCTGTTTTAAGTTGTTCGTAAAGTTTTTCACTTATGAAACCATGCATTAGTTAAATCTGAAGCTGACAATTATTTCACATAACTCTAATTCAAGGTTATTGAAGGTGATGGAAGCATTTTGGGGATTAATCACATACAGCCTAAACTGTGTGTACAAAATACAATAGACCTCATTCTTCGCCTACCATGGACAACATGACCTATCTAAATATGATTGTTTTTTTTATTTAACTGAGTGATTGTCATGAACTTTTTTTTATTATTGTTAACCATGTTAGTTGTAAAGCGGTTGTAAAGAAACTACGAAATGATGGATCATCTCACGAAATTTGTCTTCTTAATGCCTTATTCAAATTTATCAATGGGACTAATTGTTTTTATTTATTCAGATGATGGGAACAGAACAGTTTCATGCTCAATCATTAACACTCTAGCACTATATCGATAGATGTAGAGGGTTCAAATAATAGTGGAATACATTACAACACGTTTTATGATGGGAACATGTTGGTGATCCATTGACTATTTAACGGTTACGCAATACTTCCACTTTTACAAACCAACATAACTCAAAAATGGAAATGCATGTATACACTAATGCACACTCCTAATTTTCGATGTCAGTATTAGTTTTGATGAAGAGCATGACGCATGGATATTCTTGCATTTGGTCGTACTCTAAAATGATGCAACTATTTCTAGTAAGCTTTGAGGTAGCCAACTGTTTCGATACATTCATGGATAACATCTATCCCGGTCATCTATCGCTTCACTGAGTCTTTTTGGTACACTACCCCCAACCTTACTGTAAATCGTTGCGTTGTTCCAGAGTACAACCAAATTCAAGAACACTTAGTTGTCATGCTCTAATTCATGTATAATCCCCATCCAGGCATTAATGAAAACAAAACACGTAGATCAGTGAAGAGTTTCTTTTCGGCGAATTCTCAAGAGAAGGATCATATCATCTCTAAGAAGAACATTCTTTGCAGCAACGCTAAGAATAGTGTTCTCCAGTCGCCCACTGATCTGCAGAAGCCTCGAGGACAAGATCCCGCATGTGACCACTTCTATGTGCATATATCAGTTCACCTGCTACTGTGGAGCCAGGTACACCGGTCGTTCGACGCGCACCCTGTCCAAGAGGATTCAAGAACACCATACAGCATGGTTGCGAAAAGGCAATAGTGGTGCAATAAGGAGTGCGATAATTGAATACCTGATTAACACTGATCATTCCATCTCAACAAACGCCTCCTGCTTCAAAGTAATCTACAGAGTCAAGAATAACCTATCAAAGGCAATACGGTTTCGTCTTCTTTGTATCGCTGAAGTTCTGGCCATTCATATGGAAAAACCGGAGCTGTACATACAAAAGAGGATTACTCAACCACTTCTCCTGTCTTGGTAACAACTTTTTTGATTTGATTTTTTTGATTTTGATGACTTAATTTTGTTTCTTTGCCTGCTCTTTAATTGCTTATAATTCTTGTATTCATTTAGAACTCTCACGTAATTTCGTATTCTCTACCTTGTTCCTGTGGGCATCCTGAGTAGAACTCACTCATCAAACTATTCATATTATTACATAACTTCTTTTAACAACTGTTTGTGACAACTCATCACCTTTGTTACTACCCTAATTTCAATAACACCTGATTTTATTGGCCGATTTTGCATAATGTAACTCCAATTACCAATCTTCACCTGTTTAGTTAAAATAACTATAACCAATCGTATTTTTGTTTGACAAACTTAATGTACACACGTACATACAAAATAACACGTATATATATTTGCGATTGTACAGCTAAGAAAATGAATTCGCCGGCGAAAAGAGACTCTTCGCTGATCTACGTGTTTTGTTCGTCATGCTCTAAGTCAAGTCGACTCTCTGAAATCCTGTATCGCTGAGATGACAAATAATATTGTGGGGAGAGTCTGCATTGTGAAAGGAATTTTTGACCATTTGAAGTTACGATTCTTGAAAATTGTGATGAGATATTTTGTTAACACTGAGGAAAGGAAAAGAAGCCAACCCAGCTTATTCGAAGCCTGGACAATCAGACATCTGGAGCATGTTTTCCGCCTAATCTGGAACGGTGTGTTCACACAATTCTTGATATGACGGATTTAAAAGTCTTGTCTTTCGGTATTAAATTTTTCGATAGTCATATAGAAGTTAACAAAAAGGGACATATAAGTGCAATTCGAAGACCTTTATGCTCAGATTGTAGACTTAATGCTTTCATCAGATGAAGAGGTTAACAGATTTCGGTCGATTTCGGTCGACTGTTGTTACTAATATATGTATGGTAGATTTAACGAGAATGGTATTTTAACCAAAAGACAACAAAAAGACGGCTTTAAGGGACCTGAAAGTAAGTGAGAATGTATTTCTGATAAGCTTGTTATAATAGACTTATAAGGAACGGATTTCTCACGCATCAAGATGTGCACCAGACTTGTTTTGTGCTTGTGTGGGTGCAAAAAATAACCAATACTAATGCTAATACCTATTTTACTTACCATTGGATAAATTTCAATCACGGTATTATTTTCAGTGACAAGTTTAATCGGTGATTTAGCTGTTGCTTTATTAAGCTCATTGCTTGTTAGTGGTTTCGATCGTACCACTATATGCTCTTTGACATCTTTACAACTTCGAACAATCTAAACAAATTTTGCAAAAGAATTATTCAGAGCATTATGAATGTTAATGGACAATGGATAGACAGATAGACAGGTAGATAGGCGGACAGATACATATTCAAAGAACAACATTCTTATACGCAATGCATACATGAAAATATAGTAGGAATCTTTGTTTAGAAGATTCATGTAGTAGAACCACTAAGCATATCAACCTGAGTCATGAAATGGCTTCATTTAGAGAGACATTAGAAACTGAGGAGTGTTGGACAACTGGTTTGTCATAGTTGATCGTCGAATCCAGGATCTTCAGGTTACGAGGCGAACTGGTCAACCAGTGCCTGATTGGATTGATCAAGATGGCTACAGTGTATTTTACGCATGACAGGCTACTGTCCTCCTTGACGAGCGACGTAGTTGATATAGGGTAGGGTTAGAAAAGAGTTATTGGTGGTCAGCACCAAGACATGGAACGACTCCATGAAGATTGTGACTGTTGGTTTGAGTTACGTAGTGTAGAGACGCAGACTACCAGGCTGGGATTCTGAAGAATCGGTGGTTGCAGACGGTTAGTGATAAGACGCAAAATCTTTCTCAGTGGATTGGGCACATTCACTGCCTTGGATTTCCTCCGTGTTATTATTAATCTTCCCGCACACTTTCGAGTGTTATGGTTTCACTGCCTCTCTTTTCTTCACTTTTATGCGTACTTTTATGGGGCATGTCAACTTGAATTAATTGACGTTTGTGAAAAGTTCTGAGTTGAAAACTCATTTAGGACTATTGAATGACACAGCTTTAAAACCCTTCAAAATTACATGCACTGAAAGCCAAAATGTAACGCATAATTGTTTCGCTATAACTAGCGATTATTTATCAGTATCCAGCCATGATTCAACAGCAGACTGAACCCAAACTCTGAAGGTTAAGAGACGAACCCGATTACCATTCACCCAATGTGACGGAATCTATATAGAGCATAATACATTCTAACTTTTGCAATTCGCTACAGTTAATCATTTCCATCCAACATGTTTTATTCCCTTACGTTCCCTGCAGGACGTAGAGCGTCAAGCTAGAGGCCTGAAGTTTCTGCAGCAGAGGTGATAATTTCACAGGATGGGGTTGCTAGCCTCATGCCCAACCTTCCCTCTTCACCAATCTTATTACTGCCTTAGCAAGGTAAAGGAGTGCTTCGTCGGCCGGGGATCAAACCCTGGACCACATGCATGACTGGCAAGCATTCTACCGCTGTGCCATCGACGCACCCATCCAATAATCACCACATACTCTATAAACCAGTCTAAATTAGATAAGTACCCTGCTGATGTTACCTTCAACTGTGTTTATTAATTTACGTGCACCTGTGGGAACGAGCACATTGAAATGACAGAAATAAGGGATTCTATCCAGTTTTGAAAGCAGATCCCAGGAGTTTTATGCCCAAAGGGAAGCAGGTATTCACAAAGTTTAATTACCAGACACCTTAAGGATACAAGTCATTTCGTCGAGATTGCTAAATCCTTCAAAATATCAAATATATGAAGCACAGCAAATTTACTACGATTTGCTGAAGCAATTACAGTCAAGCATTTCAAAGCAAACTTGTGCATACAGAAAGAGAGTGTAATCAATCTCTAATTCCCTTGGTAATTTACTCTGATTAATCATCAGTATTAGTGGTTTCAGCTCACTTAGCAAATTTTCAGTCTAAAGAACTATAGCCCTCTTGAGTTGCTATGTGAACGTATCAAATAATACTGTTAGTTCGATTTTTTGTCCTGTCTGTCTTGTGCTTTTCTATTTTGAAAGTATATACATTGATGGTAACTTAAACTAAAAATTGTAACGCTCATATTTCGGATACGCTGATTTTATAATGTTTTCTTCACTGCCATTCAAACATTGAAATATGTTATTGTCATTATTTTTAACCAATGGAATTTCTGGTAGTCTACAGCAGTTGATGAGAACCTGTGAAATAGAATGATGATATCTCCTATTTATGCCGTATATCTGATCCTTGTGTCTTTATCAAATACACAATTTCAAAATCAATAATCGAAGAAGAAAATCAATATTTGTAAATTGCAACTTACATTGGATGGTACAAATATGTAGAAGTATTTCGGTGGATTTAGTGCTCTTAAAGCTGATTGAGTTTCTGTTGAAAGACAATGGTCATGGTCTAATATGAATTGGGGTAAATCTTTTTCCTGCTCTAGCGTTTTATAAACATCTAAATGACAACGTGTTCCAGAAAGTATTGTACCCTCGATACAAACACATTCAGTGATGCCTAAATTAAAAAAAACACAAAACACAAAACAGAAAATGGTTTAGTAGAGTATCAGTTTGAAATATCGTTTCAACTACAGGCAGGGGGCACGGATAAGGATGTCAAAATTACAATCACTAAGTCAGGACACACCATCACTCTTAAATCAAAATAGCAAAAATATTCATTCAGACATCTATAAAACACAAAATAATCGAGCAAAGAATATTCTTTTCGATAAATTCCTCTTCCAGGCTCTACAATTATATATATGTTTATATACACAGAATATTTTAAATTAGTAGTTAATAACAATATTAGCGTTTTTTTAAATAATATCGATTTGTAAAGTATGATCAATGCTATTGCAGTTCATTAAAGATGCTTAAATTATAATAATAAAGATATAACAGCGAATAGAATATCAACTAAAATTAGGGAAATTTCACAAAAATTCTGGATTATTCAAACCTGGATGGCCAAGGTAATGATAATGACTGAACTAACTTCTTTTGGGTGCATAAATTAGGCTTATTAATATGAATCCCCACAGCCTCAGCAATATTTAGAAGTCGAACTCTTAAAGCGAAATTGAGATTCGTAGGTATGCGGTAAATGACCCTGAAAGCATGATTAACGTCAATCTTGTGTTCTGTCTCCACAAGATGAGCCAGAATAGCGCTGCGAATAGATTTTGTTTGACTTTTGCTTAACCAGGCAGGGTGATGTTCGGAAATTCGACGAGAAACACGCCTAATTGTACGGCCTATGTAACTGGCTCCACAGGAGCAGTTAAATTGGTGTATACACATGGAAGAGGCGAAATTAGGCAGTTTGTCTTTTATTCCCGAACGCAGAAGAGGAGTGGGGAATGCTCTTTTTACCGCATTTCTAAGGCGCTGTGTTAGTATCTCACTGGTGTTTTCTCCTAGGAACTGCATCTGTAAGAACAAGGTCTTTTTTGGAACTGTTGGTAACTTGGGCTGTTTTGGTTTCAGATTCATATTCTTATCAATAAACTTTTCAGGATAACCATTCTCACTTAGCAACCGTTCAACATTGTTAAGCTCCTCGTCAAGACATTCATCCGAGCAAATCTCCCTTGCTCTGTGGACCAAGCACTTTATTAGATTGCGTTTGTATTTCAAGGGCACAAAGCTGAGGAAATGTGTGTACTGGCCCGCTGATGTAGGTTTTCTATAAACACTTCTTCTTATTATGCCGTCCTCTTTTCTGGTCATAAGGACGTCTAAAAATGAAATACTACAGTCTTTTTCTTTCTCAATAGTAAAATTTATTGCAGGATGTACCTCATTAAATTTATCCAGTTTGGAAATCTTCTGCACTCTGTAGCACGAAGAACAAGATTAGGATTTCCAACATCAATGGGTAAGAAACATGATGCGTTACGGAAAGCATTTCTAACAGGTTGCATACTTTTATCCACCGCTGCCCCCTTCACTTCATATTGAAGATCAAATGACTGGAAAGAATTAGAGGCAAGGAACTCTTGGGACGAACTAACCAAGAACCTGTTACTCGAGATATACTCCGAAGAAAATGGAAATGCATTGGACACATGCTAATGAGACCGTCGAGTGACATCATGTATCAGCCTATGGTTCAAGTAACATGGAGGAGACTGTGTGAGTGGGAGATGAAAGTCTATAGACAATCGTGGAGGTAGTTAAAGAGGACTGTAGGGAAAAGATCAGAATGGAGCTGAGTTGTTGAAGCCTTATATTCCATTAGGAACTCAAGGCAATAATAATGCAAAAAGACATAAGCTAGGTATCAAGGGACTCGATAACCACTCTCTAATGATATCAAAGCATGAAGACTACTCAGAAGACTAATTTGACTGGAAAAATATACAAATCTTCAACGGAAAAAGCATTAATAGTGCCATAGGGTTCCTAGAAGCCTGGAACTCTGCAATCAACAGACACACTGACATAGATCAGATTTACACAACAAAGATCTATGAAATTGAAGTCGTCTGGATGGAAGTTAGGTATCTACCTAACAAGATAATCAATGTTCCAAGTCTGATCACCGACTGATATCAGTTACAGAACCATTGGAAACCAGCCGGGAGTGGTAAACAGCTGTTTCATCAACACTGTTTGGGACTCAGCGGCGGCACGCAGCCACTGGGGTTCAAACTCACCATCTCCTGGTCCCAAGGCAAGCTCAGTGGTCAACCCATGAGTCCTAACTTCTACCAATTCCTGTCTTTCAGTATGAATACCGAACAGTGCCATCGGCGAGTATTTGTCTATACTCCCAATCGGGTAGTAGGTCGCATTAATTAGTCACGTTTTATAACTAGAACTCACTTCAGGCAACTTTGTCCAGCAACCGGCCAGTGACTAGAGAGCACTAGATTAGTTTTTAAGAGTTAGTTTGAAATAGAACTATCCTGCTCGGGAAAAAACTTCGAAAATTTGTGGAAATCATATATTATAAACCTGATAGATAAAATTCATTTAATGTACCTCAGGAAAGAGAATTGTATCGCCCACCTTCCGAAGAACAGTGTGCCAGCAAAATAGAGTTAGTCCAACAAGGACTGAGTTTGTTAGACAGTGAGAAGATGGCTTTGTACAGTTTTCGTGAAAAGTTAAAAATGATATTCCTTCCTATCAGAAAAAGTTTTTTACCCCTTATCTCTATGAAATAAATCTTTGGTTATCTCATCTGTACAATTTTCCGAAAATAAGATTTTTTTCGCGGTTGACATAAAATACACGGCTGTCTGCTCACTGTCTTCCTTTGTGGCCACCTGACTGCCACTATAATTAGCGGTGGTATCCTTTATGAAATTCACAGCGCCGTTTCAAAGAAGACTCAACAAACAGAGGTATAGTGCAGAAAAATCATTTAAATATGCGATGGCTGGATCATTGGATTATATTACTAAATATTGTGGCTAGTAGATCAAACCTTCCTCCCCTCCACACCCCAAATAACTGTAATATACTGTTTAAGTATATTTTATTACTTCGGATTCGTCTAGTGTTGCATATTATTACTGAGTCTACAAAACAAGTCCACTATAAGTTGTCGCATTAATAATTTAGTCTTGGACTTAAAAACCGAATGACGTCTATATTTAAATCCTGCAGGTAATCAAAAAAGTCGCATGGAGGTTATACATGAAGATAGTTGACTAATGTTAACATGTATCAGATTTATGGCACATGGTGTCAGAAAGAGAGTCATATATAAATGCTGACACAAACCAAAAGTCTACGAAATGATCTTGGAGTGAGGAGCAGTCTGTCAAGTCTTTTTGAAGAGTCACTCACTTTGATCGTTACTATTCATAATTTTAATAGTAGAAAGATTTTGAATAGCTAATAGAATGATGAACTATCTCATGACTGATCATGGACTAGTTTCAGCTAGAGAACCACTGAAGGTCAGAGAGTGAGTAATGGACAGTTGTTTCGTCCTTATTAGGTGCTCTTCAAAAGTAAGCACTTATGACCCCCAACAGGGGCCCCTACAAACCAGCATTTGAATATATGTCAAGTGCTCACCAGCAACTGACTGCAGGGTGAAGCTGCCTGAGAATCTACTCAGAAGTGGTGGCCAATGGGAGTGAGTGTGAGGAAAAGTACTCATCAGTAACACTGGCTGATGTTGGCGATGTGCATCACGGATTAACACAAGTTAGAATTGCAGGGTCATTGAATTTAAAACGAGTTTGCTTTGTAACTCGAAGGTCCCAATTTCGACCTCCAAGGGTGAAGGTATCAGTGTGTGTACTGGTGAAGAGTCCAAAAATAGCGCGAGACAGCTGTCCACTACTCCCGGACTTTCAATAGTGGGTCTCTTGCTGAAGTCAGTTCATTATCCACCTAAAAATCAATCAAAACCTTGCAAACTGACACTTGAAGATGAATGATTCCCCTCAAAAATGGGTAACATTTTAATCAAATATGAAATTTTCCTTTAAAAACATAAGGGAAATCTTTTTGGTTTCTGCTCCAAGTTAGCTCATTTCCTCACTTACCTTTCGGTATATTATGTATACACCTACTGAACGGTTGACATTCACGTGCAACGCAGTCAGATTTGCAAGAGAAACCGTCGCCAATGTATCCTGGTCGACAGATACACATATGACTGAATAACTAAGATAAGGGAAATAAACACGGAACAGAGATGCTAATGAAAGAAAAGAGATAATTAGCATTAAATGTCGTTAATAACATATGTAACATTAGTAATCAATATATATATAGTCTGCTGATTTCATGTTGTTGGAAATCAGGTAAATGATATATTTGGGGAGTGTACTACTGAGAAGATTTACCAGTAGTATATAAAGAGACTTTCATTGACACAAAGGTAGAAAAAATAGCTCAGGGAGAGATTTATCCGTTTCAGCTCCAACATTAACGGGTTTCTGTCAGGTCCTAGCTCTGTGGTACGGAACTGCCACATTCCCTACCCGCAGGGCTGTCGAACTCCGCCACTAACCATTCCACCAACAGCTTCCAGTCAGCCAAACCACCTGTCCGCTCCACACCATAGTAGGCTGCCTTTACCCGACCTGTTATCAGCGTCCCCAGCACAATCATCTTCGGACCCTTGACGCTCACCATCGAAGTTCCGCAAGAAGCTCCGTATGTCTTCTTCTTCGAAGGCAGCAAGCCATGGGATTTTCATGGTCTGCAGGCGGTGATATCAAATGTAACGGGAGAAGACAAGAGACTTGGCAAAGGATTGCAATTTGATATACACATGTAGGGGAATTATGTATGCTTTGTGCCAAAATCGTCGTTTGAACAGATCCTCCGTGTTGTGCTACTTCTGACATTCGTATTGTTTTTATTTGTATTCCTTCCATATCTCCCCTGTTTGCTACAATGCTGGTTCATATCCTCTCTGTAACTTGCTATCTCTCTCTCTACTATTTAATAGTTTTGTCCCAATAAATGTCTGTTTGTATACTACTGATAAGCTCTGTCAGTAGAATACAACACACATAACTCAGTTTTTTTTACTTAACTTCAGTTTAGGTGATATTGCCATGGTTGTATGGATAGAGGCAATCGTCAGGAAGACCTGGATCTAGGTTTGGTGTTTGTTAGCACCCCTCCAAGAAATTGTTGTCTCCCCCAAAACTTTTATCAGCGTCACCTGACTCTGTAATCAGGGACGTTACCATTGAGCTATTCTGGATGACATCTTGCATTCTACGGGAAAGATGTTTAAAGTATAAATGGACAAAGTCAAGCCTTTTCTACCATTTGCTGCCTCATCAACCAAAACACAGATACATGTTGGGACGACTCTGTGCATTACGCAATATTAGTAGAAATAATAATTATTATTGCCATATAGAATAAATGTGGTAATGACAATGATAATATCGTTCTCCCTGGTTTCACGCCTAGAAAATCAGCAGAAAGCTTTAGATTCCTTTCGGTACACTGCTGTGCTACATGTCGCCTCTATCAGTGATAGAGGTGTTGGGATAGGATGCGAATGAATGAGGAATTATGAAGATGTTTCCCAAGGACATGGAAAGTGCCAAGGACCTGGCTGGTGTTCACAGCCGTATTGATGGGTTGCAAGAAAGCTGTTCCCTTTATAAACATATGTATATAGATACCGATTTCTAGGGTTTATTTCAAGTCAGTTCTTCTATATTGTTCACAGACTTGGTGCTCACTTCACTAGAAGCATTCCAAACAGGCTACTTTAGATTCATCAGTACTTGCTTTAGTTCTATGCTGAAGATCAGATGACCAGGCATGAATTCCAGAGCCAGGAGGACCTCTGCCAGCTAACCAGCCAATTACCTACTAGCCAATAAATATGCAGAAGGTTATTTAAATACATTGGAAATGCACTGAGGAGACGTTCAACTGACGTCATAAGCTAAGTCCACAAGTTAAACCCAAATGTAAAGCGATCAGTTGGTTATCTGAGTGTAAGGATGGGATGAAAGCTAGTGAAGAAGTCGTACAGCCTGATGGAAGTGATGCTAGCTAGTCGAGCGCAATGAAAACGTTTCGCTAAGGCCTTATAGACCAAATGGAAAACATACAATAAACAAATTATATATATATATGTCATAAACTATTGTACATTACCTGTTTCTTTTTCATACTAACACCCAAGTGTTCCACGCATACAGCTTGTGGATCGCATAAATCAGCGCATTCATCTGTTAACGGTGTAATCGGTTCACAGGTATGTCTACCATCGCCAAAATATCCTGGCTTACATATACATTCAGCTTGTTTATTTAATATACAAAATGCATTCGGTGCACATCCACATAGTCCTTCATGATGAAATATAAAATGAAGGAATATGTTTTAATTACTGATCATTGAACATTGATAAATTCAATTTTAACGCATGTTTAAACGAATCAAATAAATTTAATACTTTCAAGGTAAGTAACAATTCACTTACTAAGAAATTTTAATTTCAGCTAAACACGACAAGACGTTGCTTCATATGCCAAGTCCCCTTGATTAGTTTGAGCAGAGAGAGAAGGAATATATTTGCTTTGCTCATATAAGGAGATGTATCGCGCGAATACATTAAAGGATTCAGATAAATTATGTCTCAGACACGCTGACTGGTAATTAGGGCCACATTGAGGGGACAAAAATTGAAACTAAGTCTAATGCTAAATACCTCGGTCTAGTTCTATCTTCCGACCTTACTTGGACATCTCATATCCTAACGATTTCTAAGAAAGTGTTCTGTCTTACCTGCTACATAAAGAAACTTAGACAATCTGGAATCACCCAACCTCTACTTTCACAATTTGTCAACTCTTGTATCTTACCTATTCTACTTTACTGCTCCCCGTTAGTCTTTCCTGGTCTACTGAAAAAGGACTATAACATCCTGAGAAGGATGTTGAAGGTAGTCAGTAGGACTAGTGGTGTAAAACTCAGTCAGCTCGTCACTACATTAGTTGATAGGCATCTGAATACATGCGAAAAATGGTCTAAAACCATACTCTCCGACCTCCAACACCCCCTCTATTCCCAACTCTCGCCTTGTATCTCATCAAGTAACACCAGATATCAGTATAAAATAATCTATGGTCGTACAACCAAGTACAGGAACTCAACGATACCAAACTTGGCCCGTGTTCTAAGTGACAGAGACAATGTTAAGCGTGAAATCTATGACTTACTTTGTTGTTAATAACATAATTTTAAGCTCTTTTATTTCTCTCTTATTTTGTATTCTATAGTGAACTCCTTCTTAAACATACTTAGTTACCTAAATTATTGACATTGGCTTACTTTTTTGTACTTTACTGTATTCCTTCATTTGTGTATCCACTGGTTACGACTCTATTAGCACTATGAGTATCACAAAATTGTCCTGTCATTAACCATCATGTAATTATTAGTTTTGTGGTTGTTTTTTTCTTATTTTCTATACTTTTCGGCAATATTAAAGTGACAATCATTGGTTGTGAACGCCATAGTCACCACCTTAAAAAAATTTTGTATTATTCGGGATTACTCACACTACCACTACAAACACTGCATTAGACGTGACAATAAAAAAACAAAACAACCCTGATATATTATTTTATGATTGTTTAGAGTTGTTTCAACCAAAGTAACTGATCATCTTGGCGATAAACATTCCTAAATATCATTTCATAACTTCTTCTATGACTATAGCTTTACTGTCACCATGCATAATCATATCATAGCTTCCACTACCCAATACTGAGTTATTATTATATGATGTTTATTTTCCTTTCTACTTCTTGGTATTTTTTCGCATTCTTTTTTGCTGTTGGTGTCTTTAGATTTATTTATTTATTTTGTTTGTTTAATACTCCTTTTAAATGTTTGTAAACTTAGATGCAAATATTGTAGATATGTGCTGAAAATTCCACACTGTACCACTAGTACTGTTTCCGGAATAAAGCAAATTATTATTACCATTATTATTATTAAAAAAATAGCCAATGTATGCACCATAATCTTACAGGAGGTTAATATCTAGTCGGAATAGCTCTCAGTGGCATCTTCTTTGACTGCAACACCGGGTGGTGAAGTTTGGGATGTTATAGGGGACATCATTTCCTTGAATGTTACGAACATCAAACTCTGACACTAATAGGTCTTATATATGAGTTTAATAGAAGTTTTAATAAAAATTTCTTGGAATATTTAAATTGCCGTGCTGTTTTCAATTTTATTATCGCCTTCTTCGCCAACTACTTGTATATTTTTTATTATCATTGAGCCTATTGTCATTTGTATTACTGTTGTTAAAATTATTGCCATTGCTATCATATTTCTACAGTATTTAACGCCTATAGTGAATTGGTTTTCAAGAGTCAGCTGTTATGGATTCGATTTGTTTCAATTTTGATCACGGATTTATGCTAGTTAGATTGGACATGGAGTTGAGCGGGGGGGGGCATACTGCCTATGTGTCCCGAACTAGGACAAAACAGCTGTCCATTGTTCAGATACCAGTCCGTGGTCACGAATAAAAAAACATCAACTCGCCCTAAAATTAACCCTTTAAAATTAATCTGATGTTCGCCAATCACCTGCTAGTTACACGATAGAGTTGTCTGGTATGAGTTCTAGTGAGAAGTAGAGTCCACCCAGTCGGACAGGCATTTAGACAAATATCAACCGATAACATTGCCTGGCCAGGTTCAGTCGAGCTAAATATCACGAATATCACCGAAAATACCCATTGAGTCATGAAGAAAATAAAAGACAGATTCAGCGAAGAAAATTTTCTTTATCGACGAAATCATCTTCCGAGGCTGGACAATCGAATTTATACTTACAAAAATATACAGTGGTCTATTATTGAGTAATAGGGGGTGACATAATTGATATAGTTACTCAGAAGTGGATCAGATTTCGCTTTCTTCTCAACTAACAACCAAAATGGAACGGTCAGTACACAAATTTCCATAGCCGGATCCCTTTGAGAAGAAAGAGAAATCTGATCCATTCCTTATCCTCAAGAATAAGGAGGATATGTTCAAGTGATACATTCGTTGGGGAACTGGAGAGACTCAGACAAGTCCTCATAGAGAATGGATATCCTCCAAGTTTTATCGAGAAAAACATGAAGCCAAGGGAAAAACCTGAAAGAATACAGACAGTGCCAAAGAAACTACTGTTTATGAGTGTTGAATTTAAAGGTGATACCGCAGCTGAGATCCTGAAGAATCGCTTATGCAGATCACTGAGGAAAGCCTTCTTTATGGCTGAGCTACGTATCAACTTCTACAGCCGACAAATGATCAACGGATGTGTGAAAAATAAACTGCTGCTTTGGGCCACCTCAATGTGTGTTTATAAATTCACTTGCTCGTGTGGAGCTAGTTATATTGGCCGCACAAAGCGCACACTTTCCAAACGCATCTCTGAACATTATCCGGCATGGTTAGCAAAGGGACAATGTAAGACAATTACTAGCTCAATTCTCGAGCATTTGGTGAACTCAGACCACGTAGCTCCACCAGAATCATCTTTCAAGATCATCTACAAAGTGAAGCCAAATGGTAGAAAGGGCGTCAGGTTTCGGCTTTAGTGTATGGCGGAGGCTCTAGCAATTCATCAGTACAACCCTGAACTCTGTATACAGAAAAAGTTTGTCCAGTCTCTCATTATATCTTGGTCTTAACCTCTTCACTAATCGTTCCTTGTAAATAAAATATATTTTGATTTTTTCTCTTCATTCTAATTTCACTTTTAGTTAGCTTTTGCTTTAATAATTAATTCACTATTATCACTCTCATATGCTCCTTTTGTATATTTTCACACCCTCTTCACACTTGTTAAATTGACACTCAAATACCTTTATTCTCACTTAATAGCAATTTTAACCTTATCAAATTTCTATCTTTGTGCCGTTGAGTACCACGTAATTTTCAACTTTTAATTTTCACTTCTAAAGTGACTTCTGAGTAATTATATCAATTATGTCACCCCCCATTACTCAATAGCAGACCACTATATATCACGAATATGTAGAAGTAAGAAATCATTCTACTGGCTGATGAGTTCAGTCTCCTTGGATGAATTGTCGGCGTGGTTGACTTGTGATCGGAAGGTCTTGGATTGGAACCCTGGTGGATGCGTACTGTTAAGGAGTCGCAAACTAGGATGATGCGGTTTTCCAGTACACCTTATTTATTTTCAGCGGTTCTCCAACTGATACCAATCAGTGATCAAACTTGAAACTTATAATAAAGTTATTGAAGTTTGTGTTGACTAGAAGTGGAAAACACGATGCGAACTTCATCCAGTTTTGGACTCGTCAACCAATCATGCCTGCGCTCCCAGTGACCGCATGTAAATCCAGGTAGTGAATTCCAAATAGGATGAAAAGCAGTTCTAGTTACGCTAATTTTAAGAGATTGTCGAAACATCCATACTAGGATAATCATTTCATATGTTGTACAATTTCATCATTAATTCTAACTTTACAAAGGGATCAGTAGAATAATAATAATATTCAAGTTTTCGATTTGTGCAGATTTCGCCACATTTCTTTGTAGATTTCATCTCAAACCAGCATCCGTTAGAGGAGGAGCCTTGCTTTCGGTCACTTTAGTGGTGCGCAAGCATGGCACCACCAGGTAAACATAATTCAGTTATTTAATCTATGAGAGTGAAAAGGAGGGCTACATCTTGTCCCATAGTTTGCAAAGGTTTTTAATATGTCTAACTGATGACTAATCACGGAAAAGCACCGTTTTATTCATACAAGATCCCACTAAGTTGACATCAAAATATAAAACAACTGTCCACTACCCACAAGGATACATTTCTGCTCACTGTGACATCTGACATCTCTATTGTACTATCTTAAAGGAGATTGGTTAAGCTGAATAACTAAATCACCCTTTCCTGAGACTTCAGGAAGATTCTGAGCATCTAAATCTTACCAGTCTCGGACTTTTAGTCCATTATCTGAGGCATTTAACTTTCAACCAGTCGGTTATATTTAAAAATTATATTTGTAAGATCCCAACGAAACTGAAGTAAGTGATTCTAACCAACTTAACTAACCAACTTTTAAAGGTGAAAAACTGCAGCAATGGTCAACAGAAGACTGAGCAAGTCACTAGCCAGAGCCTATCCTGCAGCTAAGTTGGTTCCCGTCCATCGAACAACATGCTCTTTGGTGCAGTCAAAAGTCGATAGATACCCTTCTCATGTTAACTCCAACTGTGTATACAAATTTACGTGTATCTGCAGAAGCAGTTACACTGGGAGAACAGAAAGAAGAACACACCTCCGACTTTCTGAACATGTGCCAAACAGCCTACGTCTCAAGGGAACAAACCCTTATAATAGCGCTATTACCAGACATCTCGTCGATACGGGTCATGAGGTGGAAATCGCGAAATTATGAATAGACAAGGGAGCTAAATTCTCCTCAAGTTTGCTGAAGCAACTTCTATCAAACGCTTGAAACCAGATTTATGTGTTCAGAAAGAAGCAGTTATTAGTCTTTCCTTGCCATGGTAACTGGATGTCTTTATTCTCTCTTTCATTTGATTACGTAATCTTTGGCTTTAACCTCAACCCTTTGATATAGTGTAATTTTACTTGTCTCTTGTTTCTGTGATTTGGGTTGGACTCAGTAAATTGTCACCTAATTTATTAGTCACTCAGCATCTTACACATCTCTCGTCTTTATTGCGTAACTCCCTTACCATTGTATGCATGCATTTATTTTGTTTAAACTTGAACTGCCTGTGCGAAAACTATATAAGCGCAATTTTCTGAGTACTGTTCACTAATTGCGGAACCTTCTGTCAACTGACATCATGGAAATTTTGCAAACTGTGAGCAGCTGATGAGTGGTCAACGAAATAAGTCATGGTACCATATTATTCTGCACGAACCAGTGTTGTTCTTGCTTTATTCAAACACATATAAAAGGATGACTGTGCTGAACGAAACGCTGGAACTATTTATTTATATTTACATGTCTACTTCCCACTCGGCGTCCAGTCCCTGTAGCACTATTCAGTCAAATCTTGATCACGTTTCATATATAGTAGTCGGTTGTACTTTTTAATTCACCTACATCTACAGTGGTATTTCGGCACAGAAGTGGTCTCCTTAACCACGAAACTGTGGAATACCTAACCACTCAGTTCACATAGTTGGGTTGGATTTCCAGGAAACAGCACAGAATTCCAAATATGACAGGATCATATGAGCTCATCTTTCACTATTTCAAGGATTCTATTCAACTAACCACACTCTGAACAATAATATAAAAAAAATTACATTAGGAATTTGAACACACTGTTTTCGCGATGACAAAGAGTAATTGGGAGAAGCTAAAAGTAACGCTAGTCCGTAGTGATGTCAGTTGTTAAGTAATTAGGAGTTCAAAGCACCAACTATTTATACGATGACTGGATGAATATGCTCAGAAACAAAAAGACAGAGTTGAACAAACTATTTTTGATAGAAACAAAGTCTAACTACGAAACTATGGATATTATGTTTTCATAAAGTGCCAAGGAACAGGGCTGGGGTGATTTATATCCAGATGAAACAATAAAATTCTCTAAACAAGACGGAACATGACGTAATAAAATTTTTATGCAGTGCAGGATTCACCGCTGTCTCTTTCTGCATATTTAGATCTGGTTTTAATTATTTGATGACGATTGCCTCACTGGAACGTAGTATGCTAGGTTTATTTCGCCTGTTGATTATTTTGAACACCTTCAGACTGTATACAGCATAACAAGTGTCCGAAAGATGTTATATTTGTCATCCCTGCCTTGTTTAAGTTTATTAGTGGGAAGAATTGTATGAGGATTTTAAAGAAACGTCTCTCTACCCAATCTTTCAAGGCACTGGATCGCCTGGTAATCATACGTTGCAAGATTTCAAAATAATGGACTTGTCTGAAGTTCTTCGAACAAAGGTTAAGTACATGCTGTTCCCCACGCCAGTTTTCTCTAAGTCTGTGAGCCCTTGCAAATTACCAGTCTCGCGAAGAGATCTAGGACACTGTGAAATCCTAGAACGAGTACAGTGAAGATTTTATTTTTAAACTGAAGGAAGAATCTTGTAGCTTTGATCATATTTTGATTGAAATGGACTTGGTTTATAGAATCGGGTTAGCCAATTTCATTCGAGAGGTTCAGAGGAAACCACAATCATAGAAAGTGAGAAGACTTTGTCAAAGACTGTAGTTTCATAACCTATTATAACTTTATACAATTTTTAGTTTTTACCCAAAAACCTTTGAAGTCTGTCTTGCTGTTTCCATGTATATTCGTCTAAGTCAATACTTCTACATGGTTCTGACAATTGGCGCATGTGCTATGAAAAGCTTTTCAATCAGTTCACAGACTTTCATGAACAGTCGTCTTCGATCGATGTCGAAATTCATATGGCCAGAAGAGATCAGCAACAAGGAGGACTGCAGTGCAAAGAATCGACCAAGAATCCATCACTCAACAAAAATTGAGAAGAAAATAGAGCTGGATCGCACACACACACAATCTGAGGAGATCGCTGAGTGAGATTATAACGACAGAAGACAAGCACCAGGTAGCAGATCCTTTATTAAGGAAATCAAGAGATATTTATTTATTTTTATCCACATTATTATTTATTATTATTAATAGAGAAACAGAGTTTTCTGACTGGTTGTTTTCTCGCTGAAAGTAAATCTGTCGTCTCTTTGTTTTGAAGGTCTGACCAAATGCCCCTGCGAATCGTATCCACCAGAGCAAAGTCTATTGTGATTAGTTGTTCTGTTAGTCTTTGTTCTTGTTTTTTTCTCATGACCAAGATATGGGATGTAAACATTGACGTAAATTGCTGTCTACCAATTTTGGCTAACAGACAGCTCTCACCACAAGATTACCAGACAGAGGCAAAGGTGGTAGCCGAATAGATGTCCGGGAGTTATATGGACTTAATTATAATAGAAGGAGATGAAAACTACAGGGTAATGGTGGAACCAGCTAAAGTGAACTGCAGAGAACAGAGTTCCATTTGGAACACGACGAATCAATAATAATAATTTGAACCGAATTCTACCTTGGGTAGTTTCATTATCGATAGATTCGTCATAATTAGGCGAAATGACCTAAAATTTACTGTTAGCCTAGTCAATACGAATTCCAACACAATCAAGTTTACATGAGAAAAACAATTAGATAGTCGAAGTATATCTGTATTCTCCTATTTTCCGAGAAGGATATTTTTGAAGTCACTGCTGGAATGTTGAAGTTTTTCGGGATTAGTTGCCACTCACAAACCAACGCCTTCTCTTCACGCCATCTTCACTATGTGAAACCAAAAAGCATCCAACAGTAAAAGAAGACAAAACTAGCGTCATCTGTATACTGCATATCGCATGAATTGAGAAATACCAAAATGTTGGACCAAGCGGTCATTCTTTCCACATTCTCATTCGTGATTATAAACTACTGGCAAGAAAGCATGACATACATTCATTCAAATCAACTAACCTGGACAACTATGGAAATTGACTGAACTGCGATAGTACAAGAATGTTGGACAGAGGAAACACAAAGAATGATTGAGAACCCCTAGAAGCCTGGTACCGAAATCTACTTTCAGGTAAACCAAAAGATAATTACCAACATAAGTTAGCATATTACAAGCACATTCTCGGAGACGATGCATTATAGTCAGAGTCGCTAGGAAGAATGTGTATTCCATCCATCAAGAACTATCAAACCTCACTTAACAGTATAGGTACAGCTAAAGGTGTTGTCCAGAAGTACAAAGAAGCATTCACAATTCAACTATTCAGTCCAGAGTAAAACTTGTAGTGCTGAGTGTTTGAAGGCATGAGACATCTTCGTCAATATATCAATAAAACTTTGCATCTACCAATTCACCTGCTCATGTGGAGCTAGGTATGTCGGCCGTACCCAGCGTCTGCTATCCAAACGAATCAGCGAACACTTACCTTCATGGTTTTATAAAGGAGAAAGAAGATCCTCCCGCCACAGCTCTATCCTAGAACACTTGATCGAATCCGGACACCACAAAACAACTTCTCAGTTATCTACACAATACGTGGGAACCTTGCCAAAAGAGTACGAATTAAACTTCTTCAAACTGCAGAAGCAATGGGAATTCACATATTGAATCCTGAACTCTTCATAAAAAAGAAGTCTGTTCAATCACTAAATCTACAATGGTCCTGATCTATCTCAACACCAAATACGTAATTTTTCTCTTACCTCTTTCTTCTTTGTTTGTCTGTTTCTTAATTGTATTATTTTCTACCCCACCCTCTATTAAATCTCTACCCTCATGAAGACTGTTGCTAACTCCATTTTCGTTTATTTTTAAGTGAATTCTACTCAGCTTATTAACTTAACTCTCATTCATTCTCAAGTGAATTCTACTCAGATTTTTAACTTGACTCTCATTCATTTTTCATTGAACCCTAGCAATTAGATTACGTCACCCAACCTACTTTTGTAACTTTATTTTAGTTTCTAACCGATTAATGCCTTCTAAATTACGTAATTTGTTGTCAAAAAATTAACAATTGCATTAACACATCTTTGGAAATATTCCTTTTGTTGCCAAGCTTCAAAAAAGTCCTCATTCCTAATATTTTTTAAATTCAACTCCTTTTTCATTAACTAAAATGATGGTGAATGTGAAGCATTTTGCATAAAAAGGCCATATAGGGAAAAATATACATTCTACTTACTAGCTATCTCATCAACATCTTTTTCTGAAATATTTTGACTTGTTGCATAACGACTGCCTAGAATTGATGTTGTATAATCAATTCCTTTGGCTGGATGATAATAACACAAGTATAGAAGACCTTCACGTTGTGCTATTGCCTCACGATATAACAGCATGTCTTTCTCAGTGAACATTGTTGACTTGCCTTTGTTATTGTTATTATGATTATGATTATTACCATTACCATTACCATTGCCATTACTGTGCAGTGGATATGTTAGATAAGTGGTGATTTTCTCTCGGTCCAACACAGTTCCTGGTACACTTGAACACAGACCAGAACTACTGGCTAAGTAGAAGCCATCAGTGGACAGTGGTAAACGTAGTAAAAGGTGTTTATCCTCTCGACAGCATTGCATAAAGTAGACAATATGATTTTCAGCATCTTCATGCCAGTGGCTATTGAGAAGAATTTCCCCGCTGGCTGTTACATTATGTATACTTTTCAAGAAAAAGCGTGGAATTTTCAAAGGGATCTCCTTAGAAGCCTCTAAAAAAAGGAGAACAAAAAGTAAGACAGTTAGGGAGTTGTTTTTTGAGAATTTCATAATGATTTTCAAGGGTGTATTGTCAGGCATTCAGTTGAATTCAAGGTAGATCAGGAAATAAAAATTCAGTCAGAGAATCAGTGAAGGTCAGGGAGTAACTCATAGCTATTTCATCTTAATTAGGGAATGTCCAGCAGTACGTCTTCATGGCTTTATCGAGGATCTGTTCTCATGACAGTGACTTGAATACGCCGTCGACAAATATGTTGTAACGGAGTGTTAGTGATTTGTTGGTTGTTTTCTGTCTTGACTAGAATAAGCCTCAAGCCAACCGATCACTTGAAAATGCTCTCAACACTGAGACAGACACAGAAGTCAGATGTAACTGCAGTAACCATGACAACAAAAACCTGCATTATACAAGGTACAGAGTATACACCACTTTTATATCCATCGAAATTTAACCCACGGAAAATAGATGTTCAGTATCTGAATGACTGCATGACCTCGAAGATCGTCTGAAACAAATCAGTCAAGAACTGTCTAATCAGGTTATTATGTCAGCGCATACATGAATCATAACTTCATGGTTAATAAAGGTATTAGTCTGTCCTACCAACCTGTTTTACCTACCTAGGTATCATCGTTTCAACTACAGGCGGACGGAACTGATGAGGACATCAAAGCAAGAATCAGAAAAGCAAGACAAGCTTTCACTACTCTCAAGTCTGTGTGGAGGTCAACAGCACTCAGCATCAAAAATAAGATCCGGATTTTCAACTCCAATGTGAAGTCAGTGCCGCTCACTATACGGATCAGAGACTTGCACTGCGCGTCATAAACAGCATCTCAAACAAACTACAGACCTTCATTAACAGCTAGCTGTCTTCGCTCAATACTCAAGATCAGATGGCCAGCCAGAAAAGATCAGCAACAGAGAGGGATCTCTGGGAGCGAACCAACACATCAGGAAGCAATTGTGAAACAAATAGGCAGGAAGAAATGGAGATGGATTGGCTGGCCATACTCTAAGGAAACCATCAAGTGACATCACTATACAAGCCATTGCTCGAGTGGAACCCGGCCGAAAGGGAAGCGGCGAGTTGGTCGTCAGTGCTAGGGTGACTTGTAGGAGGTCATGTGAAGGGGAGATGAAAGCATGTGGGCAGGTGAAAACTCTAGCAGAGAACCGAACACAATGGAGACGCACGGCTGAAGCCCTATGTTTCTCTAGGAATTAAAGGAAACAATAATAATAATAACACCCTTGTTTTAAAAAGTTCTTCAATTAGAGGACGACCAGAAGATATTTATAGATCTGGGTGCTTTCTGTTTATGATAGAATTGGACTCTGGACCCTAGGGTTTCGGGATGACTACGCTGACTGATAGGACAGTGGGATGGAACCCGATATCCCATGAATCTTACCTTCTGTCAATTCGCGTAACATAGAGCCACTATCATCCAAGGACTTTAGCGAGTATTTATTCTTAGTGGACCCGACTGGTGATGACTTCTTACTAAAACCCCAGATAATGTGTCTCATATTCGGTTACAAATGAGTATTAGCCTGATTTATGAGTGTTGATTTGTTGTGACTTGACTGATTTTAAGTAAATTCACCAGAGGGGTTCGTCACATAACCCGAGGGTCCTTAATTCTTTCTCCTGATGTGTTCATAGGTGAGTACTGCTGAATTTATAAAAACTAGAACAAAGTAGTACAAATATTAGTTTTTGTTCATTACATGAACCATACGGTCTAATGATTTTTGTCTGCTGAACTAATTGAGAACATTTTTCGGACACCTGAATAATTAATTCTACAACCGATGAGCCCAACAAGTAGAGTTTAAGAAGCCACAGCTGTGTATACAGAAGAGGGCTTGCATTAGCTTGCATTTCTGTTTTCGAGCTATTATTCCTCTTTGAAACACAGTTCATTCTGCTTCTAAACTGTTAGGGTAGAGAATGGACATAACATTAATCAATGTTTCCTACTTAAGCTCCGTCATATCAACGAGTAGTGCTAACCAGCCCAATCGAGGGGGTCTAATCAACGGACGGCCAGAAAACGAGTGGTTTGAACTGATTCGGCTCTCTGATCTAAGTCAAACCCGGCATATGGCTGATAAGCGCTGCCCCAAACGAGAGAAACATCCGCCTAGTGCTTAGATCACCTCGACCTGACTAGCAAGCACCACTAGTTGATATTACCGGTATAAAACTACTCATTTCGGTCGGTTAGTAGTATATGGTTTCAGTGAAAAAAAGGTTTTTGAAATAACTGGTTTAAAAAGCGACTCATTTTAACAACCATTGTCTTGTTCAATATCCAATTATTTCGGACAAAAATTTTTTTAAAAAAAAAACAGAACAAAATTCAAATAAATATAAACTAGTTAGCACACATACGCATTTCAACTGGACAATTTTTATTCATTGTGAATATACAATAATCACCAGCAGGCCAAATTTTATTTCTCTTTGTTTTGCTATCTGGTTTATCAATATGTACACAGAATTCCATAGTAACCTGAGCGGTAATAATAAATGCTTTTGTTGTATTTGTATCTGGATCGGCCATTAATTGATTCTCTACTTCACTACTTGAAAATATAAATCGTTTACGTTCAAATGACTCAGGACACTGGTATTTTCCACCAATGGTACTAGTACTACTGTCACGTAGATTTGTGATAGAAGTAGATGCTTTCATCATTTCACTAGATCCTGTTGTTTCTGTTGTTGTTGTTGTTGTCGTTGTCGTCGTGGACATTGACATATATTCTTCAAAATTTGGATAAACCTTTGTTGTATATGCTGTACGCAGACCAGATCGTCTTCCTATTGGTAGCATATATTCACCTTCAGGCCATTCAATGGTATCATTCATCCAAGATATAGGCAGATAGTGGCAAAGTACATCCCACTGGGCTTCGTGTTTTGACTCGGAAACAGATGCTAAGCGTACCAAATATCGTTCTACCTAATATTTTTATAAAATAGAGAAAATAAATAATGGAGTGATTTTGTAAATCATATATTTATATATCTAAAGCACAAAAAACACCGTAGTTTTCCAATCAGTCGAATTTTGAATGTATGATTATTATTCCCAAGGGTCCCGAATGGAACATGGAACTTCAGCTGCACGTCTCTACTTCACTCTGCTATATGCAGTCTTTTCTAGCAGGTTCTGTGATCGCCCACAAGCTTTCATGTGATCACTTCCATGTCACCCTTGCGCCTTCGCTCAGTCCAGCTGTTTCTTATCTCGGTTCAAATGTGGCGTGATGATATTCAGCTGTCTACTCACTGTGTCTCCAGTCCATCTATTTCCATTTATTTTTGTATATATGTTAAGCGACAGGATCTTGGTTGGTTCTTTGACAGAGTTCCTAGTTGCTGATCCTTTCTGGCCATTTGATCTTCAGTAATGAGCCAGCAAAAGCCTCCAAAGCCTCAGGATGGTCGGGGGTGGGTGCTTTGCGCTGCGGGTTGGCCACCCCTCCGCACACCTCTTGAAATGCTCCCATATGACCGGGCGTCTTACATAGCCTCTCCTGAGGAAGTCCTACTCACTGCCTTCACGTGGTGGAGGTGTTTTTCACCAAAGTGAGAGGGCGAAAGCGGATGCCCGGCGCTCTTCACCGGGTTGACTGTCCATTGGATGACAGTCTAGTGGAGATGGCTAAACCCTGATTCCAAACCTCCAACGACTGGCGTATGAAGCTCACTGGAGCTCACCGGCAGACGTATGGACAAAGGGCTTGTTGGATGTCCTGGATGTCTGGCCCCATTCAAAAAGGCGTATGAACCGAACTCCGGTCACCGGCTGCCAATGGATAGTGGACTCCCTACTCCACTCCTACTGCCTTGTAGGTCACACTTGGTTGTGTAAAGGCTAGAGCTGCACTCTCAAACAAAAGGCCAAGCGATTGTGGGGACATCACTTGTACCAAATTCCCATGAAACTTCATGAAGTCTCGTCGTTGCTATAACATCAACCAAATTCCAGTACTGGTCCAACAACGTCGCCTTCGGTGGTTTGGCCATGTTCTGCGCCGACCAGATGACGATCTGGTCAAATCAGTTCTAAATCCCTCGCCATTACCATCTTGGCGATGTCGCAAGGGTGGACAGCTGAAAACATGGCTTGGTACAGTCAAGGCTGATATGGAGTGCCTGGGGCTACAAACCGTCTACGGACTCCGTCTGTGGAACAAGAATTGGATAACCCTGTCGCAAAACCTTGCATCAGATCGCCGCGCCTGGGCAGCGATGATTCGAGATGTTCATGAAGCCGGCTCATCCTCCCGTAGGAGATAGCCGAAGTAAAGTAAAGTAGTAAGTAAAAGCAGATGTTAATGAAAGTCAAAAAATTAGTCTGTTGGGAATGCTTTTGAGGACGCGTACTACACGTCGCTGAACCATATAGAAGCAGAGACTGACTTGACACTAATGTTGAGTATCGAAATCTTGATAATTATACTGAGTGCGACAGAATTCCACACTGGTTTCAGATCAGTGGAAGTTGAATTTGAAGAAAGCACAACACGTAGTTCAGAGAAGTGGCGGCAAATTCATCTGTCTCTTCAGGTGTACAGTCACATTTATCTACAATCTCCTTTTCATGAAAGAGGTCAGTCAAATTATTCGTTCCAAAAAAGAAACTTTACATGAACCGGGATTTCAGTGGAGAACTAACTTGCGATATCCTGAAGAGAACAATTTGATCTCCTTTGAGAAGAATATTCTTCACAGCTATGCTAAGAACAGTGGTCTCCAGTCATCCATTAGCCTGAGGAAGCCTTAAGGACACGATCGTGCATCTGATCAATTCATCTGTTCTTGTGGAGCCCAGAATATTGGTCGTTCGACGCGCATCCTCACTAAATTTGATCAAAAGCACTGTCCCGCATTGTTCAGAAAGTCAGCAGTGGTTGTATTATAATAGAACCCCCTGGTCAGTCCATCTCAACAAAGGCCTCCTTCAAAGTAATATACAAATTGAAGAACGACTTGCCAAAAATAATGCTCTTTCGTCTCTTTTGCATTGCTGAACCTTTAGCCATTCAGGTAGAGAGACCGACTGGAGCTATGTATACAAGAGAAAATTATTCAACCACTTCTACCATCATGGTAACAACCTTGTTCATTTCTACTGACTCTAATTTTGTCTGTTCGCTTTTCTAATGCTTTATGACGCTTGTATTCCTCTGGAATTCTTTGTTTCTATATGCATCGTGATCACAACTCGCTCATTAAATTATTCAGCCTAACTTATCCAACTCCTCATATTCATTGAATAACATTAATAGCTTTGTTTGTGGAGGTCAACAGCACTCAGCATCAAAATTAAGATTTGGATTTTCAACTCCAATGTAAAGTCAGTGCTACCTACTATACGGATCAGCGACTTGCACTGCGCGTCATAAACAGCATCTCAAACAAACTACAGACCTTCATCAACAGCCAGTTGTCTTCACTCAATACTACTCAAGATCAGATGACCAGCCAGAAAAGATCAGCGACACAGAGGGATCTCTGGCAATGAGCTAACCAACACAGCAGGAACCAATTGTGAAACAAATAGGCAGGAAGAAATGGAGATGGATTGGCCATACTCTGAGGAAACCATCAAGTGACATCACTAGACAAGCCATTGCTCGAGTGGAACCCGGCGGAAAGGGAAGCGGCGGCGAGTTGGTCGTCAGTGCAAGGGTGACCTGGAGGAGGTCATGTGAAGAGGAGATGAAAACGTGTGGGCAGACTTGGAGCCAGGTGAAGACTCTAGCAGAGAACCGAACACAATGGAGACGCACGGCTGAAGCCCTATGTTCCTCTAGGAATTAAAGAAAATAATAATAATAAATAGTATTTTACAACCCTCTTTTATGAGGAGAAAATGAATATAAATGCGACCGTACAGCTGATGAGGGAGATGGATTATCTGAAAACAGCCTCTTGACTGCACTACGTGCTTCGTTTTCATGAATATCTCGATGGTGATTATTTGTGAATTGAATCGAAGGTTTAGTAAGCTAAACAGACGATTAACTCAATGTCTTTGGGGCGGCCAACCGCACTAAACGGTGCAGTCACGAGAAGATTTTTAACGAAGTGTCAAAAACCAAGTAGGTTGACCTGTTTGAAAAGTTTCCAACAATAACTCCCAGTTCCTTCATATGAATTATACATGTGTATATATAACAAATAGATATACAACACAAATGTGAAGTCAATTCTTCTATATGGGTCAGAAACTTGGCGCATCTCGGAAAGGATTTCCAGTAGATTGCAGACTTTTGTCAATAGCTGCTCCCTTCGCTCCACACTGAAGATCAAACTTCCAGGAAGAATTAGAAACAAGAAACTATGGGAGCAAACTAACCAAGAACCTATTGGTCAACAAATATGCAGAAGAAAGTGGAGAGGGATCGGACACACGATGAGGAGATCGTTGAATAAAATCACGCGCCAGACCATTGCTGGTGTGGAAGTCGAATGGGAAACGATCATTGGGTTGTTTGAGGGTTACATTGGAAGAGATCGTACGAGAAGAAGATGAGAGAGTATGGGCAATCATGGGTCCAGCTGAAGAGGACAGCAGGGAATAGAACGAAGTGGAGATGTGTTGTTGAAGCCCTATATTCCATTCGGATCAATAATATATATATATACATATATATATACGAAAAAGCCCCTAAAAAGGGTAAAAGACAGTAAGAATGACTTACGTGGGTGTTTTCTATTGGTAGACACTTTTCACCACCGAATAAAAAGAAATCTTCAATAAACGGCCATTTTACAGGTTTTGGATTTTTAATATTATCCGTTCGGCAACAAAGTTCTGAAAATGCTCTAGCATGTCTATGAAGACCTGGAATTAATCAGGATAAAAATAATAATGGTAAAATCTGATCGGTTTTATTGTTTCACTAATAAATAGTTACTAAGATCCATTTTATTTCATCAAGAATGAACGTAGGAAACCTGACGGTCCTACGATCAGCAAGAAGCCAGTTTTCATCAAACACGACTTCACAGGTAATGATATTCAGAGAGTCTTAAATAGAAGATTATGGACAGCCTTTCCAGGACGTATCCTGCAGCAGAACTGGTCTGTCTGCTCTGATCATTCACCTCGTTGGTGCAGTCAAAGATTGACAAGGACCCGTCATATGTTACCTCCAACTATGTACTTGCGGTAGCAGCTACGTTGGGAAAACAGAAAGAAGGCCCTACATCAGATTCTTCAAACATCTTTCAAGAAGCTTCAGGTTGAAAGGGCCAAACATGTCACGCTCTTCAATCACCAAATATCTGATAGACACAGAACAAAGAGTAGACGCTGTAGGATCCTTCAAAATAATGGGCAGACAAAATAGTCTAAGTTTTCTTAGGTTTGCTGAGGCTATTACAATAAAACTGTTGAAATCTGACCTATGTACCCAGAAGGAATCTGTCGTTGGACTTTAATTACCACATGGTGACTCATCCTCTAGTAACTCTTTCTTTCTTATTTCATTAACTTGTTTTTTAACTCCAGTTTTTTCGTCTGACCTCATTTCTACTCACCATATTATATCATCATTTCATCTAACTGCTGAGATATGATGGTGACTGGTGGCAGTCACAGACTACTGAATAGACACCTAAGTCATCTGGCAACCCAATCATGTAAATCCTAATCACATATGATAAATTTATGGTATTGATGGCAGTAGAAGTAGACTAGCACACCCTCTAATTCTCGAAGTACGTGATAAATGCATTATTTTTTATTCCTTCACGTTCCCAGGGGAACATAGGGCTTCAAGCTAGAGGCTTGAAGTTTCTGTAGCAGGCTTTTTATTTTTACGGGATGGGGTTGCTAGCCTCATGCCCAACCTTCCCTCTTTACCAGTCTTATTACTGGCTCAGCGAGGTAAAGGAGTGCTTCGTGGGTCAGGGATCGAACCCACACAATATGTGCATGGTCGGCGAGCATCCTTACCGCTGTGCCACCGACGCACCGATAAATGCATTAAGCAAGCCCAAATACAAATAGGCACCTGAAGTCAGATAGATGCTGAAGGATGGCCAGTCTGTTCATGAAGCAACCATACACACCAGATGAATTCCAAAGAGTCGGAGTTTGACTTCACTGGTTTACCAGTGAAAACAACTTCCCTACACTGTACTGTATGCCACCATATCCCTGTAAGTAATTAGAATTCCGTAAAGTTTTTGCTACGCACTTTAAACTCACTTCTTAAATAACATTCTGACTCTGTGATTAGGTGTAGAGAAAACTACTATATCTGATCACTAAAGCTACCCTCTTATATCAAGAACTATGCGCTCAACTTATTGTTGGACAATGGGAAGAGAAGTAATGCCACGAACCAACCTAATGTATTGTTCAAATAGGAATCCTGTGTTCACGATTTTCCAACTCTATACAATTAGTCAGTAGCAAGCTGCATCTATCTAAATACTATAATTTCGTAAGGAAGGACTCGTGTGGCGGAAACCTTTGGAAATAGGTTTCGCCCATAATGTCAATTTTCAGGAAGCTTTTTCTCCAGTCTTCAGGTAACTGAAGCTTGTCTGGTGATTCGTGTCGTGCCAGAAATGCCTTATCTCTATACTGACTTCAGTCGACATTATAGGAATAGTGACGAAACACTGGTTCCCTTCCGACGATCGTTTGAAAGATACTAATTTATTTCCATATGTGTTCAGAGACGTTGAAATCAATTTATTACACATAAACTGAAATAACACCAGTGAAAGGAAGGAACAATGAAAACCAGGGAGCACCAAAGCAGTCCACCATGTTGTTTATGAAGCTAGATACCATTCAATGACACTAGACGACAGGGTTACTATGTCAACTATTGACAGAAGAAGTTAGAATTTACAGGTCATTGCATTCCAAGCCCACGAATGAGCGCTTAGTGCGTTCACCTCGCACGTAACACGAAAACCTTCTGTTACGCTAAGGGATGGTAGGTGTTGCTGAAGAATCCACAACTAGGATGAAACAAGTGTTCAATGCTTCATGGTTTCCATTGTCTTAACAAATTCATGTTAGTTAATAGAAAAACCTATTCACGATAGCATTATAAAAGTAATAAAGTCTACTCACCTGGTGGACATTGATAATTTTTCGCCGTGGATATAACACAGTAATCGCCTTTAGGCCATTGAGATTCTAAAAGATTCTTATTGTCTTCAGAAGATATTGTAGCCTTTGTCGACGATATAGTTGATGTGGTAGATGATAATGTTTCGCTTTCTTCATCTTCACTACTTTCAACAATAATCATCTCTTCTGTTTCATTTGTTACATTACTATTATTATTATTATTACCACTGTCATCATTAGTGTTTCTTTCACAGTAATGGACATTTAGAGCACTATAATTATGTCCAATCAATTCAAGAAAATACGGTCCTAAACTCATTGGCATTATTTCTAATTCAAAAAATGCTGCTTGATTATTAATCAGGGAATAATAGTGTTGTGTAAATCCTGGTGGACAGGCTTTATCTAAATCATTTCTATGTACATTTGGTAAAGCATATTGACCTATTGGCCATTCACCTTCAATCTGATAACCTAATGTACAATATCAAAAAAAAAAATAATTACTATAATAATAAAACACAAAAGTTGACCAGACAGGTAAATGAACTGATCGATGGAGAGAGATGTGGATGGGAAATAATACAATATGATAACCTAATTAAAAGATATATTAGTTTTAGGTGGTTGGAGGCAATCGGCAGGAAGCCTTGGACCTAGGTTTCGTGCTAGTTGGCACTCATCAGCAAGGCGTATCTGCAACCTTGAAGGAACTGATGTCCCTTCTGAGATTCGAACCCGCGTCACCCAGTGCTGCAGTCAGAGACGTTACCACTGAGCTATTTAGACTCGCGACTGACCTCCTGTAGGACTGTATTGGATATTTTTGATTGCACACTAGTCAGTCAGTCAGTCAGTGGTAACGTCTCTGACTGCAGCACTGGGTGACGCGGGTTCGAATCTCAGAAGGGACATCAGTTCCTTCAAGGTTGTAGATACGCCTTGCTAATGAGTGCCAACTAGCATGAAACATAGGTCCAAGGCTTCCTGCCGATTGCTTCCAACCACCTAATACCAACAATTCATAGTGCACCGTAATGGCGAGCCACCTAGCATGGTGGCCACATTGCAAGCATGACTGATAGAATTCATTCTGCACCGAAGATAGGACTAGACACATTACACTAGTTACTGACTAGTGTGCAATCAAAAATACATTAGTTTTCCCACTATATATTAATTCTATTATCAAACCATAATGTGATCTGTATTTGAATCCCAGTTGACGGGGAGGTAAACCTCGGTTAGAGGGTAATAATTCCAGTAAAGACGGAAGGGTAGACGTGAAGGTAGCAGCCTTACTCACTTATAAGGGAAAACCAATGCTACTAAAACTTTAAAACTCACGCTTGAAACCTTGAGTTCTATTCGGAAAGCAAAAATGGTGAATGGATAGTGATAACGGAATAGTTGTTTAGAAAAGCCCTCCTGATACATCTAATTACAATATTTATAATTATTTGGGTGTTTCAATTTACTTTGTGGTGATTACCGTCCTTTCTCCTAGACTGTATTTCATTGTTGTTCTGATGTTTGACGGTGTTTAATCTCTAATGCATTTTAATGCCTTCCTTGTGGTTATGCAATGCACTGACTATGTGTTGTTCTACGGTGTGATTTTGTTTGAGTGAATAAAGGTTATTCCCACCTTGGACTGTCTAAATAAAGCAAGAACAACAGTTTTTGCAGAATAAAATGGTACCATCATTTGTTTCGTTGGCTTCTCATCAACTGCTTACAGGCCAAAGTCATTATCAAGTATATCCCACCTAGTCAGATTATTCAATAACGCACATATCAATATTGAATTTACTATGAAACATGAAAATGATGGAGAGTTCCACTTCCTCGATATTGCCATGCAACGCCTAGAAGATGGTAGTCGCCAGAAGTCTATTTACCGAAAGCCTATATGGAAATGACAATACCTACATTTTAATAGTTTTTGTCCAAATAGCTTTAAACGTGGACTAGTCAAGACTCTTTACTATAGAGCTAGAAGATTATCCTGCATGGAGAAATTAGAGGAAGAATTTATGTTTGTCCCAAAGATGTTGAAAAACAACGGTTACCCTCAAATGTTCATTAACAAGTACGGAAGATCTGAAGTTTCAAATGTCAAGCAAATTACAGTGGAGAAAATGCCCACCTACATTCAACTTGATTATAAAGTTGGAAATATCACATCAATTGTCAACAGAAGATTGAGGACGTCACGAGGCAGAGCCTATCCTGCAGCTAAGCTCGTTCCCGTCTACCGAACAACTTGCTCTTTGGTGCAATCAAAAATCGATAGATATCCTTCTCATGTTAACTCCAAGTGTATATACAAATTTACATGTACCTGCGGGAGCAGTTACATTGGAAGAACAGAAAAAAGGGCATATCTACGATTTTATGAACATTTGCCACAAAGCCTATGTCTCAAGGGAACAAATGCTTTAAACAGTGCCATCGTCAAGCATATCCTTAACACGGGTCATGAGAAAGACATCGCAAGGTCGTTCAAAATTATCAATAGGCAAAAGAGTTCAATTCTCCTCAAGTTTGCTGAAGCGATTTCCAACAATTACCTGAAACCTGATTTATGCGTTCAGAAAGAAACAGTTATCAGTCTTTCTTTGTCCTGGTAAATGGATATTTTCACCCTCTCTTTCATCTGATTACGTAATGTCGAAAGTTTCCATTGTGTATCATCATTATTGTTCAGAATAAAGTGTCTGCTATTTTTGTATATTATTGTATGCATATATTGATCGATTGATTTTTGTTTAAAAGTGAACTCTGTGCAAGTAGGTTAAAATTGTTTCTGCAGATGTACTTAATGACTTTGGGCTGTAAGGAGCTGATGGTAACATTTTATTCTGCAAAAACTGTTGTTCTTGCCTTATTCAAGTACTTGTTTTGTAGCTGTCTAACAGGATTGTTGAGGTCATTTTGAGTTTCTGATATTATTATTGTTTGATAGAACCATATAGATCAAACTGCGAATAACCGTCTTTTCGTTGTCTTTGGAGCGGTTTGTGAGTATGAGTGGCCCAATGAAGTTTAGTACAGCTCTACAGAGATTGGTTGCTTGCTTGCAGACCACAATGAGCCCGTTTTCGTCGTTACAGGTAGACGAGATAAAAGACACAATGACTGGGGTTGTAGGTATGTCCAACTGACTCCTCCGAAGTGGAACGAAACGCGCACCACTGCTAGTCACCATCAGTCAAGAGATATCATAGCGATCTTTACATATGCTCATCAAATCATCTGTACTAGGAGTCGAAATAGCATTAGAAACTCACCATCTCGGTCCAGGTAATGTAAATCAATCAATCGAGGGACCAAGTTAAACTTTAAGCACCACTAATTACCAATCAACGAATGACATCGAATGGTCCAATCAGGTTCATGAACGTGAGTTCAAGGTTTTACAGCGCTTGATTCGTTTCAAATACGTGCTCTAATGAACTTGTGCCTGCAGTTCGGGGAGGATAAGGTTTTGCTGTACTGTCCAGATTTGTGGTTGCATATGAATGAGAGGATTTGTTCATCTGGGGGTGTCATGAGTTTAAAAAGCTTTAGCAGGTCGATTGATGGATATGTCCATCCTTGTGCAATTTGCTTGAGACGAGTTAGTATTAGGGAAGGCAAGCTGACAATTTTAATATTTCGTAAGAACATTTTTTGCTAGGTCGCATCTCTCCCTCACACAAATTTTGTATATTTGTAATCAGTGGGTTTTAAAACAACCTGTGAGAGGCGCAGTTGCTGGAACCGAAAATTGACTCGTGTCAACATTTCAGTGGTACCAGAACTGCAGAGACATTGCATCATGGAAAATGGAGAGAATTACTTCGTTGTTAGACGAAGAAGGTATCGTCACACACGTGGACGGAACTGTGTTACTGAAGAAAAAATACAACCATGGTTGTAAGCGAGCCAACATTGTTTGGGTGATCGGTTTATATGACACCTCCCTGCGGAAAGGATTCGTGGAGTGAGTACCAGACAGAAAGTCTACTGTCTTAATAGCTTTTGTCACTAGACTTGTGAAACAGGGATCCATTGTACATGCTGATGAATGGGAAGGTTATAACTCGCTGTCATCTATTGGATATATTCATCACAGATTGAACCAATTAAAGGGATGCACCCGAATTCTGGCGAAGGCTTTTAGGGAGGATTAGAAAATAGGATTAGGGCTATAAATGGATCTCAAAAGGGTCTCATTTATAGTCATTTGGATTAATATATGTACAGAGTGTGGTGTAACTTTTCTGTTGACACTCCTGTGCTAAGCTAGGAGATGTTTCTGTGACATGTTAGAGAAAGATAGTCTTTGAAACAGTTTTATGCAGTTTTTATGATGCTTTTTTCATAAACACACGTTTTCCCTTAAAAAAATTCCCCCTTTCGTGTGACTGGTTCATTGAAGGTCGTCCGCTGATAGGTTGTAAGTGGTGCTTAAAGTTTAACTTTGGCAACTGAAAATACAAAATGTTAAAAACATAACTGATACTTGTCGTACAGAAGGTGGCTACCATGCCACACTGGTCTTATGGATAACACTTTGGCGTCTGAAACTATATGTGCTTAGTTTGAGTGTCAGTAACGATGTCATCACTTACTGGGGATTAAAATACATCTAGTTGATGGGACCTGAGCAAGACGAAATGCCCGTCTGCCCACACGTTTTCATCTCCTCTTCACATGACCTCCTCCAAGTCACCTTTGCACTGACGACCAACTCACCGCTTCCCTTTCAGATTCCACTCGAGCAATGGCTTGTCTAGTGATGTCACTTGATGGTTTGTTTCCTCAGAGTATTGCCAATCCATCTCCATTTGTTCCTGCCTATTTGTTGCACAATCTGTTCCTGGTTGGTTGGTTCATTCCCAGAGATCCATGTTGCTGATCTTTTCTGGCCATCTGATCTTGAGTATTGAGCGAAGACAGCTGTTAATGAAGGTCTGTAGTTTGTTTGAAATGCTCTTTATGACGCGCAGTGCAAGTCTTTGATCCGTATAGTAGCACTGACTTCACATTGGAGTTGAAAATCCGGATCTTATATTCATTTTCATGCTGAGTGTTGTTGACCTCCACACAGACTTGAGAGTAGTGAAAGCTTGTCTTGCTTTTCCGATCCTCGCTGCTTTGATATCCTCGTCAGTTGCGTCTGGCTGTAGTTGAAACGATGCTCCCCAGGTAGGTAAAGGAGATTGTTTCTTTCAGGTTCCCGCCATTTATGCTGATTGTTGTCAGTTGTTGTTGTTGCTGTTGGTGGTGTTGCCCAGGAATCTTCATCACCTCTGTTTTCTCAATGTTCATCTGAAGTAAGTCTCATCTTCTCTGGATGCTTCTTCTGCCAACTTGTTGCTTTTCGCTTGCATATCTTCCAGTTTGTGGGAAATCAGACATATATCATCTGTGAAGTCCAGATCCTCCAAGTTTTTTGTGTGAGTCCATTTTATGCCTGTTTCCTCATTGCCCGCTGTTTGTCGCATTATCCAGTCTACCGTTCTCAATCAGGAAAATCATTGGCGATAGTAGGCAGCCAGCTTGTCTTACTCCTGTCCTCACTTGCAAGGATTCCGTAAGTTTGAGTGGAATCCTAATGGGAAACTCTGAGTTCAGCGTCCAAGGGCAATCGTAGGGCCAGCTGAAGAGGACTGCAGAGAACACGGCAGTGTGCAAATGTTCCATTCAGCATCTAAGATAATAATAATAATATTACAATAATAACAGTGGAATTTAGGACGTTATTTTCGTTCTAATTTGGATCTTAGCAACTGTAGATGTACCTCCATCTGCAAGTACAAGTAAAGAAGTCCACCAAAGTTGCAAATCTTCTCCAATTACTTCAAAATTCATATTTCTAAGAGATTCCTCTTTGATAAAGTCAGCATTAGGAAATGTTTTTCAAACTAAAATAATGAATCTTTTCAAAACACTTACTTTCTGTTTCTTCATTTTCAGAAGATGAAGGAGCTATTGAAAAAAATAAAATAAAATAAGATATGATAACTTTTGTGTAAGCATGAAATTCCAGTATAAGCTTATTATTTAATCAAAGTAAAAGAGTCAGATAATGGGTTATATTTCAGATTTTTCAACTGTATCAAAAGGCCATCGTTTATAATGATGACTAAATATTTTGAATAGCACAACATTGAAGCTCTTGATAGGCAGTCTGGCACAGAATAGATCTGTTGTAGTCAATATGACAGAAACTTATTCTTTAGATTTTAGTTATCTTGGAGACTTAAATTCGCTGTTTGACCTGCATTGTCATACTCCATCAGCTAACACTTCTTTGACTATCAAGCCGAGTGACATTCATGTCAGAATCTCTTAGTGGGTGGATATCAGTTCTAATTGCTGCCATTTTAAGTTCGTCTTGTTGTTGAGTGCTAGGAATGATAAAAAACTAGTTTTTTGGCCTATCAAGCATCGAACTGAGGAACATCAGGTTACTTTGTCTCCCCGGTTAGCGTTCAGTAAACTGTCTGAATTTGTTTTACTACTTCAAAATACATCAGCTTATAATTTCTTCTTAATTTAAATAAATTATTCGGTGAAGATGCTCACCATCCACCTTCATGAATCTGTGCATGCTAACCCATTAGAGAAGAATCATTAAGCAGTCGAGGCAATGTAGCTGGTCAGTGTTATTTTTTATTCAATAATTCTTTGACTCTTCTTTGCTCTTCTGTCGATATCCTTCCTAATGATACAAATCATATAGACAATAATTTTAGTGGTTTTAATACCCTTGATGTGATTAAATGTCTCCGTTCTCTTAAGCCTTCCCAAAGCCTTGGTCCTGATGGCGTACCTGCCATTGTCCTCAGGAACTGTGTTGATATCTTGTGTCACTCTCTTACTAGCATTTTAATGCTTCCTTTTCCAGTAATGTTCTACCTTTTGCATGGAAAAACATTAAAATTATCCCCATACCAAAAAAATCTTCTGGTACTGATATTAAATTTAGGCCTATTGCAATTACTTTTCCTTTTTTAAAATTGATGGAAAAATTACTTTTACTTCGTCTTGAACCTTCATTGAAACCTTTTAATGATCCTAAGCAATTTGCATATAAACATGGTAGAAGTACCTTGGATGCTGCGGTTGTCTTATATCATAATGTTGTTTCTTGTTTAGACAAAGGTGACAAATATGTTCGTGGTGCTTTCCTTGACTACAAATCTGCTTTTGACTCTGTACCTAGGGGTCTTTTATGAAATAAGTTTTCGTTGACGCAAACAGGGTCCTGGGTTAAGAGTTGGTTGCATTCCTATTTTTCTGATAGAATGCAGAATACTGCATATAATGGCAAATCTTCTTCTACTTTTCTTACAAAAGCCGGTGTTCATCAAGGTGCCGTCCTCTCCCCTTTTCTTTTTTCTTTCTTCCTACGCGACCTGCCTCATTTAAACGAAACTAACTTTGTCAAATATGCTGATAATCTGACTGTATCACTGCCTATCACTTCCTAGTCTGACTGCTCCAAACTTAATAGCTTTCTGTTGGACATCAGCAAGGGGTCTAAGTCATATGGTCATACGTTAAGTCCTTCCAAATGTCAGGCAGTTAACTTTACTTTCGAGCATCGACGTGACATACATGAACTAGTTAGTTCCCATGATGCCTGTAGCAAAGGTGGCACTGAAATTGAAACCAAGTCAAGCATTAAATACCTTGGATTAGTTCTTTCCTCTGACCTTTCATGGTCATCCCACATCTTATCAATCTCTAAGAAAATGTTTCGTTTTACCTTCTACATTAAAAAGTTAAGACAATCAGGTATCAACCAACCTTTAGTTCTGCAATTTTTAAACTCCTCTATTTTACCTATTATACTCTATTGTTCTCCATTAATCTTTCCTGGGCTTCTTAAAAAAGACTATGTCATATTACGAAGGGTATTAAATGCTGTGAGTAGGGCTTGTGGTTTGCTACTGCGTGAGCTCGCCAATACTATACTCGAGAGACACATAAATTCCTGTACATAGTGGGCAAAGGCCGTACTGTCAGACCCTCTGCACCTCCTTTATTCACAACTATCCCCTTGTATCTCATCAGGTAGGACGAGAAGTCAATATAAGAAGTTATATGCCCGAACCACTTAGTACGAAAATTCTACAATACCGTATTTAGTCCGTATTTTATGTGATGAAGACTCTGTTAGACGTGAAACATATAAGTTACTATGTAATTAGCATAGCGAATCGACCCTTTCATTGTTCATCTTTCTGTAATTTTATGGTGTCACCCTTTCTATCGTTTAATTATAACTTTGCTATTTTTATTTTAGTTGTTATTACTATTATTACTACAATTTTATACTTTATGCATATTTTTCTCCGTACTGCATACAGTAATTTGCTAAATAGCTGCTATAACAACTTTTTGTTATCATTATTATATAATGTTTATTTTTTTTGTTTTGTTTTTTTTTGTCGCTTTTGAGTAAATTAGATGCAATATTGTACTGAATTCTGAAAATTCCTTGCTGTATCATTAGTACTGTTTTTGGAATAAAGGAAATTATTATTTTAAAAAAATAACGGTCTCTATCGCTGTACTGTATGAAAAATTCAGTTTCAGGGATAAAAGCTATGCTACCTTTGCTAAGTTAAACACGGTTTATTCATCCTCCTAAGATTTCGGATTTATATCGTTTAGGAATACGAATTCCATTAGAGATTAGTACACTTTGAACACCGAATGCTTGTATAATCATACACAAGAGACTGGCAGTCAGACAGAGTTTACACTTTCAGGTAGTGGGTCATAAGAATCTCAATAATTTTCTACTAGGTTCAGTTATGAACCAACATCTTTTAGAGAACCTGCCAAAAAGGGTGAGTACTTGATGACATTACAGCCGTCCTCCTTTGAGACTCTTTAGCAGTAAGCACGTATGAATTCTGTCAGAATCAAACCAACGGCCTTCAGATCACAAATTTGAAATCCATTTTGAATCTTAACTAAGGAGTCATTCAGTAATACCTGTTTTTTACACGTTCTATAGCTTGTATCAATTTACCTCAAATTCTTACTTAGAACTCCATTATGGATAAGATTTTATTTTGATAAATCACACAGTGTTACACAGTAATATTAACTGGTGACGTTTCGAGCACAAATTATTGCTCATAATCATATCAAGTTACTCACACAACTTTTTCTCCTTCATTTATATATATGTATGGAATTGACTAGATATTTGAATAAAAATCAATATGAGATAATGTGCATTCAGAAATAATAATATGAGTGTTATTGGTCAATAACAATCAGATGGGAAATAAGACGAGTGTTTTTATAGTCATAATAAGTAACTTATTAGAATGTTGTGATGTGCTTAATTGAAATAGAATTTTGGGATTATTTATTATCCTCTTCTGATTTGACTGGTGGTAATAATATCTTCCATATTTCTGGTATTTGCATTGAGTCATTTCTGTTGCATGTGTTGGGTGTAGATTCAATGAACCAGGCAGGATTCAGTAACCAATCTCTCTCTCCACCTACATAGATTACTTCTTAGAATCTTAACCCTCTCCCACCCTATTGTGTGGTTGTGTGTTATCGCATGTAGTGCAGTTGCTGAGCTTTTTTCTAAATTACTTATCTTCTCGGGGTCAACCATTCTTACCTTATCTAAATTCTTATGTTCCGACAATCTGATTACCCCCGATCTACTAGTTTGACCTCACAGTCATTACAAGGTATTTTGTAAATGATATTATTTTGTTTAATTGGGTCCACCGGGTCTTTTAGCCTATAGAGCTTGTCTCTGAGTGAGTTTGTTGGTTTGAATGCCACCCTAATTCCTGCTTTATTTAGAATCCTACGTAGGGTCTCAGATGTCCCCTTAGAATTTGTCAAAACCAAACTATACACTAAGCTGATATTACCCCCATTTCAGTATTTTCAATAATAAACAGCGAAAACTTTAAAAAAATATCAGATACACATCAGATTTATTAATAAATTCCCACCTTGTTCATAATAGCACAGATTAATTTCAACATCACAGAAATCGTGATACGGTACACGTGCTGGTGTTATGCCTTTTACATTATATGGTGACCAAGTATGATTTTGATCAATTGACCACCAGTTTGGATCACCTTTATTCGGTGCATCTACACAGATATACTCCTCTGTGACATGCATTCCAGCAATCTGTTGACATTTATCTCCAACCCTGTAGTGTGGAAAGTGTAAAGTAATGCAGATTACCATTAGAATATTGGTTAGAATAAGTTAACATTCTATATATATGAAGATATACATTATCAGAAGTCCCTAAAGAAGGATATTTATGTGGTGATAGATATTTAATTACCATCTACGGGTGTGCATCAGTTGGCATTAGCTAGAGAACCACTGAAGATCTTGACAGTACTGGACAGATGTTTCGTCCTGGTTTGGAACTCTTCATCAGTACTCACGCGTTGGGCTTTGAACCCAGGATCTTCCAGTTATAGAACAGTTACTCACGTATAACACTGTCTGACGGTTGCTCTAAGTATATCATGAGTTGGAGAAAGCTGGGTAATAGGGTCGGATCCCACTAGTTGAATGGTCTACAACCTCGTCTTGCAACTGGAGGGTCCTGTGTTCGTACCTTGGGGAGGTACGCATTGGTGGTGAGTCACAAACAGGGACGAAACATACATGCAGTACACCATGGTCTTCCAATGGTTCTCTAACAGATACTTAACTGTTTTGAGGCGCATTCCTTGCATTAAATTACACTTATGATTGAGAATCGACGAAAAGTCCTTTAATTAGGTTAAAACAGCTATGCGGTCATTTTTCAGTTGTGAATAGTTCCGTGACTGGTAATAGTTATTTTGTTTAAAAGAAATCTTCTACACAAGAAAATTTCTTCTTCATAACACAACTTACAATAGTCTTATCGTGTATCACAAATATTTATGATATCATATAAATATAAATATATATCCTTTCAAATGTGTTACAATAATCACAGACATTATGAAAGTTGAATAATTTGATGACCGTTTCAATCTTCAATCTCCGAATATAAGATGGATTAAATGGAGCAAGTTTGCAATATCAGTGATTGAATTTCTTACAAGTAAAGATTATTATTCAGAGTTGGGTGTTCGAGAGGAGTCTACGTGAACCCATGACCTTGAATAGCTCCTGGATAACTCTTCTGAATGCAGTGCAGCAACAATAAAGATCACACACTGCACTGGACTTAAGTGTCAGTTACGACAGATAATTAGTCCAATGGTCTAAAGATCAAACTATATCGTCTATGTTTGAATTTAAGACTGACAGTCAGACTGTCATCGGGATTGCCGATCAGCTGTTCTGTGTAAACGCCCAACTCCACATACGGCTAACCACTTATCCATGTTATTTTGTTCTCTCTCTCTCTCTCTCTATATATATATATATATGTCACTAGGTATGACTCAGGTTTTCTGAGCTGCAAATGCTTTTCATCTGTTACAGTTAAACTTATGCAATAATCTTCATCCCAGAAAGAGACAAGGTTTTAAGAAATTTTCGTCTAGATTCAGGTGATGTAAATTTATTTGACTCTCTGAGCTGAATCCCTCACTTCGATCTGGCTACCAAGTACTAATACTTGATGTGAGTGGTTTCTGACTACTCATTCAGTCTGTTAGTAATACATGCTGCCACAAGTAGCCTATGTTTTAACCAAAGATAAGCCCAGACTTTGATGTACTGATGATATAAAATTTGAAGATTAAGAAGTTTGAAGACTGTCCCATTTAGTGAGGCTTCAACAAAGTTACATTTCAGAGTACTTTTTTGTCAGCAGACGCCGTTTAACTAACTGTTAAAAGTCATGGAGCAGAGGACAACTGAAGAGTCCGAAACTGGGACGAAACATATATAAACTTAGGTATCTTTACATATTTCTTCAAAATATTTTCTCTTATGGTGGCTAGCAGAAGAATATGGGTTGCGGGTTTCGTCCTGCTGCTGGCTCCGCCTGCTTTTTCAGCCAGCGTTAGACTTCTCACTACAAATACCAGCGTTCTATACACCATGCAACGGGGTCACGGCAGTCCACTCTTTTGCAACTGGGGGGGGGGCAGGATGATACATCTGAAGTGTCTCAAGATGAATTCTACTGCCAGTAAATACCAATCTAGTAATTTCGGGTTCTTAATTATGGTAATATCTGGAAATCTGTTTAAGGAGCTCGTGTTTTAAATTGAGGCTGATAAATTCAGTCTAGACACATATCAGAAAGAAATCATTAAGATAAATGATTAATATATATATATATATATATAATTATATAATAGTATAATATAATATAAATTAATATTAATATATATATGCGTCGGTGGTATAGTGGTTAGGACGCTCGCCGACCATGCACATGGTCCAGGGTTCGATTCCTGGCCGACGCACTCCTTTACCTCGTTGAGCCAGAAATAATGCTGGTTAAGAGGAAAGGTTGGGCATGAGGATAGCAACCCGATCCTGTAAAATAAACACTGCCACAGAAACTTCAAGCCTCTAGCTTGGAGCCCTATGTTCCACGGGGAAACGTGAAGGAAAAAATATATGTATATAACTTCTGTACACAAGTAAACTCATTAGTAATTTACCTGTACAAATAGAATGGACCACTTTCCGGTGGAAAACCTTCAATAGGCGTCTCAACACTTGGTGAATCAGTTCGACAACAAAAATGATAATTCAGTCGATCAATTTTCGATTTACTCTGTTTCATATGCGCTCGAATACGAATAATATCTGGTGTCGGAGTGGACTGTTGCATCGGATCCAAATTTGAGCTGATACTTGAGTCGAGGCTATCTTTTGAACGATCTATCTTCTCTGGACCTTCTAGTATACTTAGAACTCCCTCACTGAAATCTAAGAAGGAAGCAAAGAAATATATTTCAAAATAAGAAGGACAAAAAGGTGATCCGATCAAGGAAATGTTGTGATTTCGATGTTGTCAAGTTCTCTAGGCTGTGGAGTTTAATTGTGAAGCTTGAAGTTAACGCTTAAGATGTTGCCTAGAATGATAATGAAAGCTTCGAATTGAAAAGTATCCTGTTTAAGAATATTAAATGACTAGAACCACTCGTCGGAGCTGCAAATATATTGTCCATCATTACAGAATACTGTTATTATCAACCGGTGATAAGATAATAGCTGCAAAACTGTTAGGAATTTATGGCAGAATTGCCAATCTCTTTGCTTCATCTTAGGTGACGGAGGCAATGAGCTCCTTTCATCGTACACGTAAGTTATGCATGGATGCTAGCAGAAGAAGTCACGAGGTGCAGTTTGTCCCGTATTGAACTACTCGGCTAAATTTACCTTAATCGCCAGATGATCAGTCCCAAATAAGCTGAACTCTCCTCTTAGCCATTGTCAACCATAACACAATGTATTCACCGATATTAAATCTTAAAGGATAAGTGGAATTTGAAATCATTTAGAGATGTTGATGGAAATTAATCTGGGAGTTAACCGACTATAGGTGCAATTGTGGTGAGAGCTGACTGCTAGCCGAAATTAGTAGATAGTAATTTACGTCAATGTATACGTCTCCAATATTGGTCATGAGAGAAATAAGAACAAAGACTGACTGACTCAAAAAGCAATCATAGCAGACTTTGCGTAGGCGGATACAATTTGCAGATAGATAATCTGAACTTCAAGAAACGGCCACACAAAGAGATGAAAGATTAACGTTTAACGAGAAACCACCAAACAGAAGACTGTGTTTGTTTCTTTACAATGATCTATAATAATGTACATGAAAATCTATAAATATGTGTTGATTTCCTTAATAGACAATCCGTTGCCTGGCCCTTGTCTTCTGTTGTTACACAATAACTTAAAATCCCAAATCAGGAATCCCGTAATATACAATAAACTAAAGGTAAATTTCCAAGTGCCAGGGAGATTTCACCACAAATTGATATCGCTCAGATAATCATTAAAAACTGAGGAACAGTCGACATTCATTTCATCTATATATTTTAGGACTTTTCAAAATTTGTGGTTAGCGGTGCTCACCATACCTTGTGTACACCAAAATTATTCATCGATAGCTTTGACTGGCAGTTGTGGGATATCGCTAATCGAAAAAGTGAAAGAATCCCAACCCGATGACTGATCGTTGAAGCTAACTCGACCACATATGTGCTCACAAGTACCCAATACAGACAGAAGTGTTCAAAGCCAAGACAAAACGGCTGTTCACTTGGACCTTAGTTTTTAAAAATTCTCTAAGCGGTGTTGGTCTCTAACGGTATTCAATATATTCACTAACCTGTTGGGCAGTTGCCATTGACGCGTAAAACACAGTAGTGTCCAGCTGGTAAGGATTCTTCTGCTCCATAGTTCCCTGTACGATAGCTACTTTGATGATCAGTAAATACACAATAATCCAGTAATACATCCTTTTTACGCTTAAAGTAGACTCCGTCCAAGTGTATTGGCTGTCAAAACAAAAATAATAATAAGGATTCATATTAGTTTGGTTTATTAGATGTATCACACAGTGAAACAGTATTACCGTTTACTGGATCACATTTAGAACAAAATTTACTGTTCATAATCATATCAATTGTAATCACACGACTTTGACACTTGAGTTTTATAGTTTCTTTGTTTTCTCCTATTTGTCGTCGTCGGGGTAGTAGAATTTTCCAGATATGTGGGTGGACAGGTGTTGAATCATTCCTATTACACGTATTCCCTGTCAGTTGATTCGATAAACAAAGCTTCTGTTATCAATCAATCCCTCCCTCCATTCACCCTGTGACATTAGATTTTAAAGCTGTCATCCTATCCCATCCCATCCTATTGTATGGTTGTGTGTAATTGCATGTGGTGTAGTGCTATAGCTGAACTATTCTCTAGATTTCTTATCTTATTTGGGTCAACCAATCTAGATTTTGCTAGGTTTTTATGTTCGGCTAGTCTGACTGCCCCTGTTCTACTAGTTTGACCTATGTATTTGACCTGACAATCATCTCAGGCAAGGTATTAGATAAACTGAATTGTTTTGTTTTAAAGGCTCCACAGGATCCTTTAACCAACAAAGCTTGTTTCTAATTGAGTTTGTGGGTTTGAATGCCACTTTTATTCCTGCCTTGTTAAGAATTCTCCGTAAGAAGGATCTCAGATAATACTGATAATCAGTTAATTCAAAACAGTATTAATTATTATACAGAAGTGCATTTTTAAGCATTATCATCACTGGTGAAGGTTAAGGATATAATATAAAAGAAGACAAACAACAGAATTACGTATACCAGATCAATTTTGAGGATTGTGACGCTACTGTGTATGTAGGAGAAACTTCCAGACCGGTAAATAACATAAGGCTAAAGGAGCACAGAAAATATCCAAATGATGGTTTCAAAGACTTCTGTGAATATGAAGAGGCTATAAAAACAGATTGGTGATTTCACTACACTTGTTAGAAAAAGGACACAAGATCGACTATGATAGGACTAATGGTTCTACAGAAAGGTTTTGATTCGTTTAAAGAATGACTGACTGTAGAAGTCTTGCATATATGGAAATTACAAAAGCATGTACAGGAGTGGAAGTGTGACGTTAGCTGATACAATGACAAGTGCTGATTAATAAATAAAATAAAATAGGTATCACTTAATCTAATTTTCAATAGTTGGTTTGTAAGGATTAGATTTAATTTAATGAGTTGATCACGGATTGATATCAGTTAGAGAAGCATTGAAAACCAGGGAGTACTGGACAGCCGTTTCATCCTAGTCAGGGAATCATCGGCAGTACGCACCCAATGGGGTTCGAACCCAGGATCTTCCGGTCACAAGGCAAGCTCGTATACCATTCAGCCACTGGGACCCGATTCAACGGCCCATCAATTCTACCTTCTACCAATTTGTGATTTAGTGCGACCACCAACCCATGAGTGGATGGATCTCACTGGTCACGACTTCTCACTAGAACTCCAGGAAACTCCGTCCTGTAGCAAGTCACTAGCGAGCATCAGATTAATTTTCAGTAGTTGGTTTGTAAGGATTAGATTTGTTTTTACGAGTTAATCTAATTTCCTGACTGTTTATATCTTCTTATGGAAAGGTTAACAAATGACTTACAATTCTTCCTTCATACAGAAACATTGTGTATCGCATATACATATTTCTTTTTCATAATCGGTTATCTATGACCATGAATTTTAGTCGAACGTAATCACTGAAAATCTGATGCAAAAGTACACACGTTTGTGGTCAAATTTTGATCATAGTTCATGCAATTTTATTTGCTTACTTTATTTTGATGTCCATTCAAATCTCACATGATTGCACAAAGATTTTAAAGACAAGATATGTGTTTATATATATACCTTTAATATTTTGTGTTAATTAATTTCTTTGGAAAAATCCGGACCAGTTTGCCGAACAGAAGGTTGGAATTACTTATTTCATTTTTGGTGAGATTTTACTAATACAATGTTTACATATGTCTACTTTTCACTCAGCGCCCAATGATTTTTGCAAATATTCGGTCTAATCTTGGCCTCCGTTCATATGAACTTACCTTCTTTTTACAAATAAATGAATTTAGACAAAGCAATAAGAAGACGGAATTTGTCTTGTATTTGCTCAACACATTTCGAACAATCTGATCACACACACACTTGTCATAGGAATCATATATGAAATTAATAAAGAGTTAAAAGGTGAGAAAATAGACTACTTAGGTCAAGTTAAAAGGCCACCATATTGAAGGCCAAAATAACAATGAAGATCACTAAACCAAATAACAGAGGTAATAGTACATCAATTTTAAATCGAATGAATGAAGTTCAGAATTGAATATCACTTGCATCTGTAGAAGAGGAAGATAATTATTTATCTTTCCTAGACATGTTACTTAGTCGACGGCTTGACGGGTCAATAAAACGATCTATTTATAGAAAACCTACCTGGACAGGACAGTATCTCAATTACCACAGTTTCTGTCCTGTTCGGTACAAAAGAGCCTTAGCAAGGTGCCTCTTCAGTAGAATCCAACGAATATGCACTGAAGACACACTTGATGAAGAAGAAAGAAAGTTGACACAAACTCTGGTTGATAACAGTTATCTAAACAAGTTCATCAGGAGATATAAAGTAGTCAGAACACCAAGACCCACTCTCCAACTCGCCCCTAAGAAAGACGTGTACATCATCGTACTCTATATGGGGCATCATAGCAGCTTGATAACTAGACAAAGACTGAACGGTGCTGTTAGAAAGACTTTTTATGCAGCTAATATCATAATAATTGAGAATGTGAAGCCAATATATCTATCCAAGCTCTCTGAATATGCGAAAAATGATGTCACATCCCACTGTATTTACCAATTTGAATGTACGTATGGACACACATACATAGGGAGGACTCATCGATCTCTGCAAGTAAGGACTGGCTTCAGAGCATATTCCTAAGTGGCTCCAGAAACAAATAGAATCTCCAAAACCCATTAATGGTGAGAACAGGAGACCTAGCTCCCCTATTGCGAAACATATTATAGAGACAGGACAAAAATTCACGTTTACACATCTTTTAAACCTATCTATAAAACGTGTTTGGGGCGTATCCTAAAGTTTGTGGAAGCCCTAGCTGGCAATTAGAAAGTTTAAACCACCTTTATGTGATCAAAGCAACAATTCGTCATCACACTAAACCTTCCTTGGTCAACTTTGTTTTGATACTAGCCAGAGTAGATGTACTATTACCTCTGTTATTTGGTTTAGTGATCTTCATTGTTATTTTGACCTTCAATATGGCGGCCTTTTAACTTGACCTAAGTAGTCTATTTTCTCACCTTTTAACTCTTTATTAATTTCATATATATTCCAATGACAAGTGTGTGTGTGATCAGATTGTTCGAAATGTGTTGCGCAAATACAAGAGTACACGATTCAGACAAATTATGTCTTCTTATTGCTTTATCTAAATTCATAAAGGGAACTAATTTTTTCTAAATAAATGAATGCATAAAGTAGTAAGAATAAAAAAACTAAAAAAACTGGAATCTAAGAGGATAACATATTTAGTAATAATGCTGGTCATAATTTACTGTGTATTTAACAGATTGCTAACTGGATTACATTTCGCTTCACCTAACATCCGTGCAAAATATGGTATGATTGAATTCTTATATTTTGTCGTTCGAGCATTACATGTCATGTAATTTCTCCTGATTTCACCCGAAGTGATTAACAGAGAAAGTTGAAAATAATAAGGGGGAAGTTCATTATTAGACAAGATGACCACTAGCCAACTGCTTTTAATGTCTTTAAGTGTACACCAATATAACTTAGCCGAGTCAAAGGGACACGATCAACTCTGCTTACAGCCTTCAAATTATTACGTAATATAACATAGTCTCTCCTTTAAAAAACCCATGAAAGAATAAGGGGGAACAATGAAGAAGAATGAGCAGAATACATGGATTAATAAATCATAAGAGGGGAGGTTGAGTTAAGGCCAGAAAATCGTGACCTCCCTATTTAATAAATCAAACAAAAGGTTTTCTTAGAAATCAAGTGGATGTGAGACGATTAACATAAACTCGAAGAGAAGATTATACCAATTTATTACCTATCACCGTGTTAATAATAATAATGATCGCTTTATTCCACAACAATAACAATTTACAGCATGGAATTTTCAGCGTTTCATTTTACATATTGCATTGGTTTAGCTCTTTTTATAATTATATAAATGTATGAAATGTTAAAAATATTGATAATTAATAGGAAAAAAACTCAACAAAATCACACCATTTCTAGGTGATAGTGAATAATAAATAAATAATATAACAAATCACACATGCAATAATATGCATCATTACATTTTATAGTTTAGTTAATGATTTAAAAGTTGTAAAAGTTCTTTTCTGATATTTGTCTCTTCACACAATACTCGTGCCAAATATGGTACGGTCGAATTTTTATATTTTGTAGTACGAGCATAAATGTTTATGAAATTTCTTCTGGTCTTACCCGAAGAGATACAAGGAAACAATGGTGAATAAAGAGGATGTTCACTATCAGACAAGTTAACTTTAGCTAAATGTTTACAAGAATTCATATGCCTATTGACAACAGTGTCAGTTAGTTGAGTCAAAGGGATAGCACTGACCCTACTTACAGCCTTCAAAGTTCTTCGTAGTATTATATGGTCTTTTTTGAGTAGCCCAGGGAAGAATAATGGAGAACAATAAAGAATGATGGGCAAAACACATGAATTAATAAATTGTGTGAGAAGAGATTGGGTTATACCTGAGTGCCTCAACTTCTTTATGTAATGTTGTTGATATTACAAGAATCATGAGACTGAATCAGTCCACATCCGAAGTTTAAATTAAAAGCCTGGCAGTTAGAGGTATTCAGTTTAAGACCGTCTGAATAAGACCATTGTTTAACCTCAGGATGCGTCGAAAACTACTTGATATTCTCCAAGCTTCGATACTTGATCGTCAATGTGTCTGATCACCATACGTAGTGGAGAATTTATATATGTCCACTTTTAACGGTTTGAAAAAATTTGGGCATTGGGTATATGATATTCATTATAATAAAGGTTTTTGTATTTCCCAATGAATGAAAAACAAAACGATATTGTTGTATTTACTGACGTTTCGCTATTTAATGCTGTTAATAGCTTTATCAAAGTATTATTAAACCGGAATTTACAAAATCTCAGCATATATATAACAAACAGTTAGGGGGTGAGAAAATAGACATAGGTCAAGTTAAAGGGACATATTGAAAGTAAAAATAGCGATGAAGATAACTAAACCAAATAACAAAGGTAATAGTATGTCTGTTATGATATCAAAATAAAGTTTACTAACTTGATCATCGTTCGTCTGTCTGGGGGCATTTTTAGTTGTCAAGTTGGTCAATTTGTAAAGATAACAAAACCATCATGTTTAGATTGTTGGATTTGATAAGTGTATAAGATTATAAAAGCAGCATGTGTTTACATAATGAAAGTGTTTATCACATTCGTGCTGGTTTTGTCACTTGATGGGGGGAGGGAGGTGTTTTAACCAGGTCAAATTCTGTTTTAGTCCATCATTGCTATTCAGGCAATTTGGATTCCACTTGATATGAAGTGCTTCTGATATTAGACGTTCTTTGTGATTTCTGAATTGCTTTTTCTGGATTATTTCAATATTTTCAAAATCAATTTTGTGGCCTGATTCTATAGCATGTAGACCTATGGCTGATGATTTTTCAAATCTTTGTAGTTCAACAGGATTTCTCGGTGGTCGAAGAGATGCTCTACGGTGTTCATTTCTTCTGATCTTGATTTCTCGAGATGTTTGTCCAATGTATATCGCATCACATTCCAAGCATTTTATTTTATAGACACAATTAGATAGAGAATCTTTAGGGATCTGATCTTTTATATGGACAAGGTTGCTTTGAAGTGTGTCTGATGTTTTGAAGAAAACTCTAATGTCGAGCTGATTGAGTACTCTTCTGATATCGTCTGACGTCTCTGCTCTATGTGGAATGACGACTGTTGATGTCCATGTTTTCGGAATGCGTTTTCGGCCATACTTAATGTCTGTGTTGATTTTGTTGATGAAGTTCCGTGGGTAGTTGTTTTGCTTGAGAGTTTCAGTAATGTTTGATATTTCTTCTTCTTTTTCTTTCTCGTCGGTTATCAGATAGTGTGCTCGTCTAAGAAGACTTGAAACAACTTAAATCTTTGCGCAGATGGGGTGTGATGACTTGAATTCTAAATATTTATTTGAGTGGGTTTTCTTCCTGAATATGGATATACTGAAATGTCCGTTTTCCCTCCTCTTAACTAGGCAGTCTAGAAATGGTAGTTCACCGATATCAGATTCTGCTTCCGAAGTGAATTGGATTCTGGGAGATACACAGTTTATTTTCTCCAGGAATGAATTAAGTAGATCTCGTAGTGGAGAATTCATTAAGAAGCGCATGAAGATGTCTCAGGTGTCGTGATAAAACATTCATAATATATATATTATGATGGACGTAAATCAAGGGGTCACTTACTTGAGAATAATGGAATCCATATCTATCCTGTTGATGCCTCATTGTGGCTTTCACTGAACCTTTGGGACAATTATTTAGAGATTTCGGTATAGCATAATTCGCGACAGGCCAACCTAAATTGAAGAAATATAACACATTGTGAAAAGGTTGGAATTAGTGTGGCATTTAAATCAACCAACTCTCTATGGGAGATAAGATTTGTTGTTCTATCGATCGGATAGATCTAATTTGGAAAAATGATACGATTTACGAAATACCATGTAATGAAAATGAGATCAGTACGTAGGTCAAATCAATAGATCGGAGTCAATTAGACTATCAGAAAATAGTAGTTTAACTGTATTTGTAATAATTGACCCTGGTAAGTTAAATCATTTGGAAAAAAGAGCTGTCCCATTGCGATGTATTCACTTGTATACAGTTACACAACAGAGTGAGATAGGTGTCCAAATGACATCCCAAATATCCAGAAAAGATGAAAAATTTTATTAACAAACAATAGGGAGCAAGGTTGTGTAGAGCAAGGTGTGTAGTCGTGTGAATAAACTCATACAATTATGAGTAATAAAGTGTTCCTGAAACATCATCCAGCCATCAGCAGTACTGTTCCACTGTGTGTTATGTCAAATAAAGGTATCTTAAATTGTAACAACAGAAGACAAGGGCCAGGCAACAGATCGTTTAGTAAGGAAAATCAACACATATTTATAGATTTTAATGTACATGATTGTAGATTATTGTTAGTAGAAAATACAGTCTTTTGATTGGTTGTTTCTCACAGACAGTTAACCTTGTGTCTCTTTGTGACTGTGTCAGATCATCCATATGCTAACTGTATCCGCCTACGCAAAGTCTGCTGTGATTGGTTGTCGAGTCAGTCTTTGTTCTTGTTCTTTTCTCACGACCAATAATTGGGGACACAAACATTGACGTCAATTGCTGTCTACCAAATTTGACTAGCAGCCAGCTCTCACCACAATATTATTATTATTATTTTGTGGTTAACTTTGTCCGCTAAGTTCGCTAGATCACATTGTCTCTAATACCAATATTCTCCATTATCCTGAAGCTTAGATCACCATTTTAATTATCTCTTAGTTACATATTTTTACATCTTAAAATTTCTTCATGAACCTGAAAGAATCGCTTATTGCTTATTCTGAGATTACCTAGTTAAAGGTGGAATCTTACTATAGTCTAATATAGAAAGTATGAAGTATTCGGATCAAGATGTCTCATCATGTTGACAAGTGTTAGTAAAAGTGTAGTGAAATATACACTATGATATTGTTCACTTTTCAAATAGTTCAGTGAGTTCCATGTGTTAACAGTTTTGTCAAGTAGCCACATAGTTGTCATATCTGCCAAAGGCTATAGGATAGTGTACATCCTAATAGTTCTGTGCAACGTTTGAAGAAGGCGCTTTGCCTCAATATTATTTCTGTGCGTTGGGAGTGGTTCAGTGTTAGAATACTAGTTAACAACGCCTCACGTGGTCCCAGGTTCTATCCCGATTCGATGTACTACTAAACCTTCATTACCAGGTAGTAAGCCCAGTGAAGGGCTGTTACTGGAACTTCGAAGCTCAAGCTTGAATCTGTAAGTTACAATAGGAATGAATTAAAAAAACAAAATAACTATAATTATTATTGTTCCCTTGGGTTCCTAGTGGAACATAGGGCTTCAACTGCACGTCTCCACTCGCTTCTGTCTTCTGCTGTACTTTTCACCTGCATCCATGTTAGTCCATACTGTTTCAACTCCTCTTCACACGATCACCTCCATGTCACCCTTGGACTTCCCACTCGCCGCTTCCCTTTCGGGTTCCACTCGAGCCATGGCCTGACGCGCGATGTCACCCAGTGGCCTCCTCAGCGAGTGTCCAATCCATCTCCACTTTCTCCTGCATATTTGTTGGGCGATTGGTTTTTGTTTTGTTTGTTCCCATAGTTTCTTGTTCGTGATTCTTACCGGCCATCTGATCTTCAGTATAGAGCCAGCGAAGACAGTTGTTGTTGATAAAGGTCTGCAACAGACTGTCGGAAATATTCTTTGTGACTCGCCAAGTTTCTGATCCGTATAGAAGAACTGACTGACTTGACGTTTATATTGAAAATCCGAATCATTTTGTTGTTGATGCTGAGTTGAGTGAGGAAGAATTCCAGATTGGTTTCAGGTTGATGAATGTGTTTCCCGCCTTCGCGATTCTCGATTTGACATCCTCCTCCGTTCCTCCTGTAGTTGGTGATTGGCGCGGGATGTTGCTGCTGTTGTTGTTGTTGTCGGTTGTTTATTTTCATAACCTCTGTCTTGTCTATGTTCACCTGGAGTCCTGTCTTCACCGGCTGCTTCTTCGACCAGTTCGTCGGTCGGTTTTCGCTTGTAAGTCTTCGATTTTGTGTGACATCAAACATAAATCATCCACGCGCGAAATCCAGGTCTTCTAGGTTCTTCACGTCGGTCTAGGATATCCCTGTCTTAAAAACAAAATAAAGCTATACAGTATTCTAGGTGATCGGCGAGGATCCTGTGTACAAGATTTCGTTGATTGCTGACACACATAATGAAGACGTATATACACTTCTGGGGGATTCCGTTCCTTACCGTCTGAGGGTGGAGTCGGATGGGTCACCAATCAGCCATTCAGTTGGCCTCCTATAGAAAGAGTAATGAATGTCATGTTTCCAGTCCTCAGCGGTGCTGACCCCATCAGTTAGGGCCTTCAACTAGATGCCTAAGTGTCACAGTATAAGTGTCCTTTTCAACAGCATAAGCGTAAGCCAGTCAGGACGTATAATTTCGCCCCAGAAAAATAAACCACACTAAATAAGGGGTTACGAATGATCATTAGCAGGTATAAAGAATAGCGCCCACGAAATGCAAATGCACCAATGACCTTCAACGCATACCATCCGTTGCATTACAGAAATGTAGTGCATTATGCATCAAAAGGCCGTTTATTTAAGAGAAAAATTAACACAATAATAATACTGAAACATATTAAAGACGATATGCTACCCTGACCTGTCTGAAAAATACTTTGCAATTACAATGAAGAGTATTAGTTTCCAAGCTTCATAGCTAACAAAACGGTTTCAACTATATGAATAAAGAAGAATTCCTCCCGTTTAATTTGTTTACAAGAGAATTTTCTATGGTTTGGTTTTTAAGGATTAGTTATGTTTATACGAGTTGATCACGGACTGATATCAGTTAGAGAACCATTGAAAGCCAGGGAGTACTGGACAGCTGTGTCATCCTAGTTTGGGAATCAACGGCCGTACGCACCCAATGGGGTTCGTACCCAGGGTCTTCCGGTTACAAGGCAAGCTCGTATACCATTCAGCCAGTGGGACCCGATTCAATTCTAACTTCTACCAATTCGTGATTTTAGCGCGACCCCAACCATTGTCGTTGGTGGGACATCCATCCACACACGTCACTTCTAATTAGACCTCACTGGTCACGACTTCTCACTAGAACTCCGAGAAACTCCGTCCTGTAGCAAGTCACTAGCGAGCATCAGATTAATTTTCTATAGTTTGGTTTGTAAGGGTTAGTTATGTTTTTACGAGTTGATCACGGACTGATATCAGTTAGAGAACCATTGATCAACTCGTAAAAACATAACTAACCCTTACAAACCAAACTATAGAAAATTAATCTGATGCTCGCTAGTGACTTGCTACAAGACGGAGTTTCCTGGAGTTCTAGTGAGAAGTCGTGACCAGTTAGATCCATCCAGTCATGGGTTGGTGGTCGCGCTAAATCACAAATTGGTAGAAGGTAGAATTGATGGGCCGCTGAATCGGGTCCCAGTGGCTGAATGGTATACGAGCTTGCCTTTTGACCGGAATATCCTGGGTTGGAATCCCAGTGGGTACGTACTGTCGATGATTCCCCAACTAAGATGAAACAGCTGTCCAGTACTACCTGGTTTCCAATGCTTCTCTAACTGATATCAGTCCGTGATCAACTCGTACAAGAGAATTACAGGTAATAGCAGTAGTAATAAAACACCCCAACCCTAATTCTTACCACAACAGTAAACCTAATACTAATCTAACCCTAACGTGCTATCAATCCATTATCTTAACAGTACTTATAAACGAGATCCGGCTGAAATTTGTACATCAGTCCGTTCACAGCGCTCATATTGGTACTTTAACAACGACAGATTCTGAAATCCAACGAATGATATGCGTTCAAGGTCACCGGTGCGTTCTCACTTCGTGGTCGCTATTCTTTAAGTTGGCCGGATGATTTCTTTTGTCAGTCAATTTCATTAATTCTATGTCACTCATTTAATTGGATGTTTAAATGCGAAGGTCTTAGATGTAATAGTACTCAACTGTGTACTACCAGAATGCATACATTGTGTTTTCTCACGGAAATTTCAGGGTATTTCAGGGATATTGGGGGGGGTGTTTGGAATTTACAGTTTTTGCGGGGAAACATTTTACATTTCCCCAGGACTTCTCCGTTACATTTCCCCACAAACCCTAAAATTGCCTCGAAATTTTTAATTTGGATGTATTGTTATGTGACGGGTTGCGTATGAGGTAGCTTAGAGGTATGGCACTCGCCGACGACGCACCTGGTACAGGATACGATCTCTTGCCAACGCACTTCAAAACCTCGCCTAGTTTACTGGCCTATAGTAGGTCAGGTAAAGAAGGCAGCTCGGGAGTGGGTTAGTAACCCCACCTCTTAAAACGAACACCACTGCTACCGAAACTTCAAAGTAAGATACTAAAAGCCTTATGCTGTAATCAGAATATAGAGGATCGTATTTTAAAATTGCTTTAAGAAACTAAATAGCTTACCTTGATGCTCATCAATAGGTGCCTTACTTGTCCCATATTCACAATATATAACATGTACAATGGCATTATCCAACCAAATACCAGTCAATGATTCAAATAGCATAGCATTCTGTTTAGTCACATTGAACAGTGTGAGTATATTCCTTTGTCGATACCATAGTCCACGTGATAAATTCTCTGGAACAAACATACTTTCTACAACACGACGTTTCAATTGTATATCATAAAATTGTGGACAGTATTTATAATCTTTAATTTGTTCATATGTATTCAATACCTTTGTCCCGGTGAAATTAACTAAGGCTTTTTTATCCTCTGGTGATGGGAAACCAAGTGTAACAAATGACTGAACTGTTGCTCCTGCTGCTGTTGCTGATGATGACGATGACGATGTTTGAGATTTCTGTTTCTCTATATCAGGCATATATTCTCTAGATAAACAACATATGACAGTATTCATATACGGTGCAGCTCCAATCTCTATAAAGACTAAAAGAAGACAGAAAATAGAATGAATAATACAGAATCATCGGTAAATATATGAGGATAAATTCAATGGATATCCCAAGTAGTCTATGTGTCTTTGAGCAGAGAACAAAAGGCTAAAACTTGTTGTTAATTCCTTTCCTACCTGTTCATTCTCAATCTTTCCTTTGTTCAACATTATACTACTTGCCATTAGTAAGTAGTATGATTTTTATATGTTAATTTATAACAATGACATTTGCTTACAACTGCAGTTAAATTACTTGTTCTATTATCATTCTATTAATATATAGTTCTTATTTTTCTTCTCCTTAAACATTATTTGCTGACCTTACCCTATAGTGTATGCTTTACTACTGAAAGTTGTTTGTTCATATTTGTTTATTCTTCGCTTGGCATTCGCGGGCCGTTTGAACCGACACGTGGATCGACCTCGACACAGCATTGCTGTTTTTGCTTATTGACTGCACAGTGGTTGTGCATTTGACGGTATTTAGCCACAGACACCTCACATTTTGAGGTTTGTATATTATATATCTATTTTTATGTAATAAAGTACCGTATTTCAGAATATCCTGTATTTCGGACTTTACGCGTCACTCTACGTGTGTACAGTTGCTGTACAGTTGCATTTATACACAATGTCTTTTTCGAGAAAGAGGGCAGTTACAAAAGTTAATAGTTGTCACAAACATACTGCTGAATACTAGTCAATGCATAAAAGGAATTTTTGATTGCACACTAGTCAGTAACTAGTGTAATGTGTCTAGTCCTATCTTCGGTGCAGAGTGAATTCTATCAGTCATGTTTGCAATGTGGCCACAATGCTAGGTGGCTTGCCATTACGGTGCACTATGAATTGTTGGTATTAGGTGGTTGGAGGCAATCGGCAGGAAGCCTTGGACCAAGCATGGTGGCCACATTGCAAACATGACTGATACAATTCAGTCTGCACCGAAGATAGGACTAGACACATTACACTAGTTACTGACTAGTGTGCAATCAAAAATGTCCAATACAGTCCTACAGGAGGTCAATCGCGAGCCCGAATAGCTTAGTGGTAACGTCTCTGACTGCAGCACTGGGTGACGCGGGTTCGAATCTCAGAAGGGACATCAGTTCCTTCAGGGTTGCAGATACGCCTTGCTGATGAGTGCCAACTAGCACAAAACCTAGGTCCAAGGCTTCCTGCCGATTACCTCCAACCATCTAATACCAATAAAAAGGAATTGAATAAGTGTACCTTTTATTGCCCTCTTTTATGAAAAAGAGATTGTATACAGTTTTTTAAGATTAATATGGTACCATCATTTATTTCGTTGGCTTCTCATCAGCTGTTTACAGCCTAAATAAATTTCTAATTCATGTAGAGAAAAGTTTTAACACACTTGGAGATTTTACTTGTTGTCAGTTGACAGAAGGTTCCGGACTTGATGGACAGTGTTCAGAAAATTACGCTTATATGGTTTCTACACAGGCAGTTAAAGTTTAAACAAAGTAAATGTATGCACACAATGGTGAAGGAGTTACGTGATAAAGACGGGATTTGCTTAAGATAATAAGTAACTAATCAGTTAGGTCACAAGGTACTGAGTCCAACTCAAAATAGCAGAAAGAAGAGAGAAGCAAAATTACACTATATCAAAGGGGTGGGTGTGGGTAGAGTTAAAGCCAAAGATTAGGTAACCAGATGAAAAGGAGAATGAAGACATCCGGTTACCAGAATGGGCGGGGAAACGCTGACTGATAACTGCTTACTTCTGAACACATAAATCACGTCTCAGGCGTTTGGCAGCGATGGCTTCAGAAAACTTGAAGAGAATTAAACCACTTTGTCTGCTGATAATTTTAAAGGATTTCGCAATGTCCACCTCAGGACCTGTAGTGATGAGATGTCTGTCAATGACGCTATTCTAAACTCTTGTCCTCTTGAGATCTAGGCTTTTCCACACACGTTCAGAGGATCGAAGATGTACTCTTCTTTCTACTTTCCCAATGTAACTGCTCCCCCAGACACATGTAAATTTGTCTACACAATTGGAGTTAACATGAGACATTTGACTGCATCAAAGAGCATGTTGTCTGATGAATAGGAACCAAGTTAGCTGCAGGAAAGGCTTTGGCTGGTGACGTATGAAGACTGCATATAAGTGTGATTGTACAATCCGAAATCAGCCTCTTCGCTAAACTAGATGTTTTGTTTTCATAAAAATCGTTCACCAGCACTTGCTGAAATCTAAGGGAGGTCGCTTCTTTCACACAGCTGTACAACTTCCTTTCAACTCCAGTTGTCAGGGAAGATCATGAAGGTGTGGCCAAGTGGCTAGTGTTCTAGAAAATTTAATGCGGCATTCGAGTTTCAGTGGAAACATCAGAGCTCACTCGGAATGCAGGAACATCCAAGTGACGAGCCCTAGATACGACAAAATACGCATCTCGATGTGTAGTTAAGTTTTCTTACTTCACTTTCTTTCTTACACATTCTTAGGTGAAAATTAACAGAAACTATTCTGATGTCTACAAGTAACCAGTTGACATTTATAAAGATTAACAAACCTAATAAACACGTCTTTCAATTAAAATAAAATATAAAATTAAAATAAAGCGCGAAACCTATGACTTGCTTTGTTGTTAATAACATAATTTTAGGCTCTTTTATTTCTCTCATATTTTGTATTCTATAGTGAACTCCTTCTTAAACATACTTAGCTACCTAAATTATTAACATTGGCTTACTTTTTTGTACTTTACTGTATTCCTTCTTTTGTGTATCTACTGGTTGCGACTATATTATCACTATGAGTAGTACAAAATTGTTCTGTCATTCATCATCATGTAATTATTAGTTTTTGTGGTTGTTTCTTCTTATTTTTTATTTTTTTCGGCAATATTAACTGACAGTCATTGGTTGTGAACGCCATTGTCACCACCTTAAAATTTTGTATTATGCAGGATTACTCACACTACCACTACAAACACTGCATTAGACCTGACAATAGAAAACAAAACAACAACCCTGAAATGTTATTTTATGATTGTTTAGTGTTGTTTCAACCAAATTAACTGATCACCTTGGCGATAAACATTCTTAAATATCATTTCATAACTTCTAGTATGACTATAGCTTTACTGTCACCATGCGTAATCGTATCATAGCTTCCTTTACCCAATGCTGAGTTATTATTATATGATGTTTATTTTTCTTTTCTACTTCTTGGTATTTTTTCGCATTTTTTAAATTATTTTTGTGTTTTTTGTGTTTTTTTGCTGTTGTTGTCTTTATATTTATTTTTTTGAAATACTCCTTTTAAGTGTTTGATAAAATTAGATGCAAATATTGTAGATATGTGCTGAAAATTCCACATTGTACCACTAGTACTGTTTCTGGAATTCAGTAAATTATTATTATTATCATTATTATTATTAAAGAAATGCCTTACATTTATACGGACAGCTGCCGAATACAGAAATGCAATAACCCGATGGACCATTAGCCAGAGTAGGTAGATTGTCTAGATTCACTTCATTGAAGCATATGTCACCAGTATCACTTCCACGTGTTGTCCATCGAGGTCGTTTATACGTGAGCCATTGATCTTGCACTGAAATGGAAAATATGAAAAGAAACTATCATTTAACTGATAAATGTTTTTCTAAATAATTGAAATATCCTTGTCATGATGCTAGATCTTTTATCACGAGGTTACTGCTTAACTACTGACCAGTACCCACTTAACTGGTAAAGCAGAACACGCGAGAATCAGCGGTAAAACCAAGTTTTTTTTTATTATGACAAAAGTGACTGCATTTATACAGAATATAAGGTAGACTGGAAATCAACCAATCCGGTTGAGAGTTGGAATTGTGCAGGCGTCCAATCAGAAGCAGGAACAATTGCATGTCAACGACTTGTTAATAACGCGATAATAACTTGATTGAGACATGATAATGACCTGATAATTGCATGTGTTTTGCCTCTTCCTAACAATTTTTACGTAAGGATGAAGTTTATCGCTACTACTATCACTACCACTGTACTCTAAGTAATCTCAAGATCCAAAGGTTGTACTTCCCAGATTCTGTTTAGTTTATGGCCTAAAATGATAAATCTATAGGACGTTGTTCTTTTATTGCTTCGTCTGGTAAGTTATTCTAAAAAGTAGCTAATCCGATTTCACACTGGTAGAGCTATTTGCTGCACCAGTCAATAAATAGCATACACATACTGGACCTTCAATATTTGCAGCAGATTGAGATAGCGTTTGAACATTTTGTTATCTGGTAATGTAAGTTTTTAGAATAATAAAGGTTATTTTGTATTTCCAAATGAATGAAAAACAAAACGATATTGTTGTTTTTACTAACGTTTCGCTATTTAATGCTAATAGCTTTATCAAAGTATTATTAAATCAGAATTTACAAATTCTCAGCTTATATATAACAACTTAATCATCTTTCCTCAGTATTGGGTCATTTTTACATTGAAGTTGAGCTGGAGAGGTGATTGCCGTTCCAAGCTCCGTTCAATGATGATCCGTAGTTTTGCGATCTGATCTATGCATAACTTGTCTCTCCTGAATCCAGCCTGTTGCAGTCGAAGTTTTTCATCTAGGGCGTGTTTGATTCTCTCCAGGATAATGCGGCTTAGTATTTTGCTTGAGATAGATAGGAGCGTAATTCCACGCCAGTTCTTGCATTGACTTAAGTCTCCTTTCTTTGGCAATTTGAATAAGTAGTCTTTCTTCCAATCCACAGGTACCTTGCCCTCCTACCACACCTTCTCAAGTAGTGGTGTCATCAAGTCCGCTGTTGTTTCTGGGTTCATTTTCAATGCTTCTGCTGGGATTCCATCTGGTCCTGCTGCTTTTCCAGCTTTTACCATCTTGATTGCCTTCAGGATTTCTGTTTTCATCGGAAGGTGATTTTCCACTGGTAGTTCTGCTCCCGTTGTTGGTATTATTGGGCGCGTTGTAGGTAATGGTCGAACTAGAAGTCTTTTGAGGTGTTCAGCCCAGTGTTTCCTTTGCTCCACCTGTTTGGTGATTGACGTTCCATTGTCATCCTTCACTGGCTTAATTAGTATTGAACGTTTCCCCGATAGGAACCTAGTTGTTTGGTAGAGTGTTGCGAGATCTCCTTTACCTGCAGTGCAGCTTGTTCTGCTTCATTTGCCATAGCTTCAATATATTTTGGTTTGTCTTCCCAGGCACTTTTCTTTACTCTTTGGTCCAATGTATTGTAGCTTGCATTCAACTGCCGTTTTTGTTGCTCATCGATGCACTGGAGAATCTTTTGTTTCACCATCACTCTGTCTTCTGTTAGTGTCCACGTGTCCGTAGTGAGCCACTGTTTGTCTTGTCTCTTCTTTCTACCTAGAACTTCCATGCAGGTTTGAATCCACACCGCTTTCAGGTTGTTCCAGTGTTTTTCAACGCTGGTGTCTTCGTTAGTGTTGGTTTATTTCTCTGCCTTTTTCCTTGTGATTGCAGTTCAGATATCTTTTGTAGTCTGATCCTTCACTTTTTGAGTATTTAACTAGGCTTGTGGTCTATCTGCAGCTCCTGTTTCTTTGAAAGTTTTTAATTTGATTTGGATTGTCCCTTGTACGAGACAGTGGTCTGAGCCAACGTCTGCTCCTCTTCTTACTTTTGTGTCCAGTAGGCTGCGCCTCCAATTCCCTGAGATTGAGATGAAGTCAATTTGGTTTTTGGTTCGCCCATCTGGTGACACCCATGTAGCCTTGTGGATATCTTTGTGTTTGTATACGCTACCACCAATTACTAGTTCATTGAAGGCGCAGAAGTCAATGGAGAGTTATCTGTTTTCATTCATCTATCTAAGTGCTTCTCTACCCATGATGAGTTATTTTCCTGTGTTACCTGGTCCCAAATTGGTGTTCATGTCTCCCATTCGAATTGTAATGTCAGCAATTGGAGTATTTTCCATTGTCGCCCATAGTTTTCTATAGAATTCTTCTTTCTTTTCGAAGTCTGTGTTGTTTGTGGGTGCATCGCATTTTGTAACTGTCAATTTCCTTCCTTTTTAGTTAGATCTGGTGGTCATTATCCTGGACAAGATCGCCTCCCATTGTCGTTCTGTTCAAAACCTAATACTTTCTTTAGTATGTACCTAGATGATGAGAAACCGACGAAATAAGCGAAGACACTGTCGTATTTTGCACAAAGTACTGTTTTTGCTTCATTCATATTTAATACATTGAACTATTTGAGGCTATATAGAAGCTTCCTGACGATATTATCTATAATTGAACTCAGCCATTGTATCACTGGTTTAATATTTTTTCTCATGCCGCTCTTTAGCTGACAATCGTCCCGGTTAAGTGGACCAAAGATGCAAACATTTATAGCTAACAACGTGGAAGAAGTGCTGATTTGGAGTACTGCAGATTAACGAGAAGCCACCATAACTGAAATCAACACTTTAATTCATTAAGCTGCACAGGTTTGGTTTATGTTGTGGCGATTAAATCATCTCTCGCTGGACAGCTTGTTTAACCATGAGACAATTGCATCCAATCAGAACAATATGTTCCCCTCAGACCTAGCCGAACTTTAGTGTAGCTAAGAATGTATAAATAGGATGTGGTTTTCCTTAATAAAGGTTAGTTACTGATTCTCTTATCTTCTTCTGTTACAATCGAACTATTGCTTGTGTTCATTAGAAAAGTAGCAGGCGCAGCTACCTGCTACCTGACTTTTCCAAATATCTAGTTTCAGATTGTGCTACATCTCCGTATTGAAAGATATCACACCGTTTAGTTTAGTGACTATATTTTATGCTTAGTCTGTAGATTTCTGTCCACAGCACTTCATAGTCATCAACCAGGCAGGTGTTGGTTTTTGGTGCTTCCAATGACATAGGGAGTTGTCAGTGCTTCTACTAAGATTTTATCCAATTCTAATATACTACTTAGGTATGTATATCTGCTTACTAGTATACAACACGTTACCAATCAAATTTGAACAATATTTAAAACAAAACATACTGATGTTAAAGAATAAGGTTGACAGTCGTCCCAGTTGACTTCGTCGGAATCCAGCTCCTGTAAATATAAGAAAAGTAGATGGAAAAAGGTTCAGTAAATAAATGCTGATTTCACTAAGGTTAATGAAATATTTTCAATATTCAAGTGTTGGTTTGTAGGGATTTGATTGCTTACAGGATTCCGTCATGAGCTGACATTGGTTAGAGAACTTTTGGAAAACCTGGGAGTAATGAACAGCTGTTTCGTCCTAGTTTGGGACTCTTCAGCAGTACGCACCCACCGGGATTCGAACCCAGGACCTTCTGGTTACAAGGTGAGCTAGCTCGTATACCATTAATCCACTGGGACCCGATCCAATGACCCATGAATTCTAACTTCTGTCAATCCAAGACATAGCGCGACCCCTAGCCAATGTCTTCGGCGAGTATTTGTCCTCACACCCAACCTGTTGCACCCTACTGGTCACGACTTCTCACTAGAACCCCAGGTAACTACCTACCTGAATAGGGCAAGTCGCTAGTGAGCATTTCATTGCCAAACGTTGAGCTGAAACAGGAACGCCGAGCTGATGACAGACAGACGCGGTAATCAAGAGTATTGCTTGTCCACACCAACAAACTCAGACAATGGCTAATTGTTCTCACAACCCCCAACTTAACCGACAGCTCACAAAAGACGAGATTTTAAAGTAGGTATATCTGTACAATAACGTATAATCCAGAAAGTCGGTAGAGATATGTCAATTATTCTGTAATCACTGGGCAATAAAGTGGTGGGCGTACTTTATGTAGGCCAGTTCTTGTTGGTTCGCTTCCAGACATGACATTAGATCTTCTCAGACTTTAGTCTAATGCACCTAACTCTACAAATAAATATTACATATGCATATTTCCAGCCGACACACTTCCAAATCTCGCTTAAACAGTTATAAGCCCGGCAAAGAGGGAAGGCTGGGCATGAGACTGGCAAGCTCATCCCATAAAAATAAAAATAATAGAGATAGTAAAGATGGCTTGATTATGTAGGCGAATGTCTTGATAGGAGTTACAGATAAATTACATGGGAAAACAAGTAGTGAGATTACGTAATTTCAGATTGTGTGAGGAAAGTAACCGAACAAAGCTTTATTGAAAATGTAATAAGACCAAGGAAGGGTTGGCAATGAAATCCAACAGCAGATAGATGGCGTAGCAATGTATTCCCCTCTAGGACTCCCCTTGACCTGCTATCTTATGGCTAGCCTAGAAAACAACCAATTATCAACGATCTCCATCTCTTCAAGAGATACATTATTTGTCATGAGAATTTGGATCTTGGTAACCTACTCCAAACCTTTAATAATGCTCACCGAAACATCGACTTCACCCTAGAAGTTGAATCTATCTCACTGTTCCGCATACAAAAAGCCCCATGGAATGGACAGTTCACCAGTTTTCAAAATTGTGTCCCTCTAAGAATAAACAGCAACCTCAAGAATTCGGAAAATATGTTCAGAGGAATTCATTGACGAAAAACGCTGAAACCTCCGAGGGATCTTGATGAAAAACGGTTTCCCACCCAGAGTCATAGATAAGAACCGAAAATCAAAGAAAACTTCTTAACAGATCCAGGTCATCCCTAAAACGATGCTACTGTATATAATCTTGAGTTTAAGAGTGATACTGAGGCGGCAGTACACCAAAAACGGCTTTCGGAATCCCATAATAAAGCATACTTTGCCGCCAGCCTTAACGTAACATTTTCTTACAAGAAACCATTCAGCCAGCACGTGAAAAACAAGCTCTCATATCGGGCCTTTTCAGCATACACATTCCAGTTCATTTGCTCTTGTTGAGCTAAATTGTCGTAACATTCATCCACTTATAAAACACACTTGGCAACACTATCCAGCCTGGCTAGCAAAGCGATAACCTTGTTGTGTATATAACTCACTAGCAGAACATCTATTGAACTCAGAACATTCACCTCCATTTGAAAAGTTCTTGAAAGTTGTATACAAGTTTTGATCCAACCTCTCAAAGTGAGCAAGATCAAGACATCTCAGCATAGCTGAAACATTAGAGATCTGAAAATTCAAGTCGGTTGTATGTATTCATAAGAAATATGTCCAACCTTTATCTTTACCGTGGCCATCATGATTAGTCAATTCTTTCAATAGGGATTATTTTATCAGAGTTTCTTATCCGAACTCCATGTTTATTTTTAAATTTTAATCAATAGTTGTAGTCTTGTTAATTTGACCCTCGACTGGAAATAGTTCTGGAACTTCCTCATCATTTTACGATATATATATTATATATATGGTGAGAGCTGTCTACTAGCCAAATTGGTAGACAGTAATTTACGTCAATATTTACGTTCCCAAGATTTGTCGTGAGAAAATGTGAACAAAGATTGATTCAAAACCGACCACAGCAGACTTTGCATAGGCGGATGCAGTTAACATATGGAGGATTTGACATTCAAGAAACAGTCACAAATAGATGAAAGATTAACTTTACGTGAGAAACAACCAATCGGAAGACTGTGTTTGTTTGCTTAAATATCCATAGTAATGTACATGAAAACATATATAAATATGCGTTGATTTCCTTAATAAATGATCTGTTGCCTGACTCTTGCCTTCAGTCGTTATATATATATATATATATACGAATTTACAATCTAGCTGATGACTTCGTCATAAAGATAATTTTCTTCTCTCCAACCGTCTTCTTAACTTTTAGCATAAAAAAGGTAAGAAATGTATTGAAACTATATAGGTCGTGGCGGTGTGGTACAACAAGTTGTTTGGTCAAGGGTGAGGAAGTGGTTGTAGGGATTTTTTATGAATACATAATATAGGCTTGATAGTTCCACAATATCATTTGCCTTATATATATGTGCGGTACACAACAATTGACACCGGCGTTTACGTCCTAAATTGGAGTTATGAGAAAGAAAAAAAAAACAAGAACAAAGCCTAACCTTGAGGAAATCAACAACCAATCACAGCAGACTTAACGTGGGTGGATATGATTCGTAGACATATCATCAACGGACTGTCTAAGAAACAGCAACAAAGAAATGATAGAATAACCTTCACCAGGAAAACAACCAATCAGAAGACGATACCTCTCTGCTAACAATAATCCTAATAATAATGTGCATAAAAATCTATAAATATCTATTGATTTTATGAACAAACTATCTGTTGCCTGGTCCTTGTACTCTGTTGTTACATATGTAGTAGGCTATTCGTTTGGAATGGTAGGCTTTATAGTTATCAAGGTTTTATTCGGACATTTCTAATTTTTTAAGATTTCATCATCTAATTTACGTAAAATGAAATAGTCACCTACAACACAGGAAAGATTCTATGTGGGAATTCTACACGTAAATAAACGACTGAATCAGTAGAAAAGATTTGTAGCTTAGGTAAACGCTGTTGTTTGTTTGTGGCACTTTTATGTCCCGTTTAATTTTGAAACTTTTGCTTAACCTTCCAGACAACAGTTTGATGGTGGACTTCAATATGAATTGAAGCTCTGGATGAAACAACCACTATTCTTGGTGACCTTGGCTATGATTAGCTGATCTTAGAGATTTTATAATGACTTTATTCCCATATATCCATGCATCAGGTCGATGAGGTGACTAGCGTTCCAACAAATGAATACAATCATATGAAAATCTTTAAGGTCAACCAATTTGAGGCAAGGGCAACTCTAAAGAATAGGAACCCAAAACGAAACGACCTACAAACGCACAAATGACCTCGTCAAGGACCAATCAGAAGGCTCAAAGAAAACGACAATAGTTGTCCCAGGCAGCACTAAGCGCTAGATAATAGGCAATAATACACATGCCCTGCGCATAGGGGTCACCTCGATATGTCCTTTCTGGAGGCTGGTGTCATATATCCCCAAAACCTATTACTGGAAAAAACAGTCACCTGGTCGGTTGCTTAAGGTCATTTGTGCGTTTGTAGGTCGTTTCGTTTTGGGTTCCTATTGTTTAGAGTTGCCGAGGCAAGAATGGTGGATATTTCATCATGGCGTAATCCAAAAGTTCACTTCACATTGAAATCAGTGAAAACTATCAGTACGAGTAAATGTTTTCCAATGTGGTTATTTTTTTCCGAGTTGGATGAGTGAATTGCACAGCTTTCAATGCTCAAATTATAGACAATATCTTCAGAACTCGGATACTTTTCAGATCGTTAATCAAAACTATGCAGTTAAGTAATCCACTACACAGAACACAGCAACCCTAGAAACGAATTAGATGTTTAGGTAAAGTGAAAATGTGAGCATCTAACAGGCGTGAACGCAGCAATGACTTTGGGGAGAAATATGGTCCTGAAAGGTATATTTCGTCCTCTTACTCAACCCTAACCCTGATCTATCGCTAACACAACCGTAACCCTAGCTTATGCCTAACCTAACAGTAATCTACCCCTAAAGAAAACACCAAAATCTCTCTAATTTTGTTAGCCTCACCCTAATCTGTCCCTAGATTAAATCTCACCCTATTCTTTCCATATTCTAACCTAAAACCAGCCAGATATCCAGCATTTAATCAGTATTGCCTTCATGAATATGGTGCCAACTGCCTAATTTCACTACCTTGCTGACTGAGCGTTCCTAGGCCATTGATGAGTTCGTGCCTGAAAGGTATCCAGACCTTAGCTCTATCCGTGTTTAATTTCAAAAATAGCATATTTTCTTTACATAGAGTTAAGTAGACTGTTTCCATCAGAAATTTTAACGCACGAGTGATGCCAGCGAAAACCTTCATCAGTATATTGCACATAATTTCTCTTATTCAGTTTGTTTAAATCTAGTAACTTATAATCTCTACTAATATTGTTGACTCTGACGATTACTTAAAACATTTACAAGCTGCTGATTGGCAGGTTTCTATTCAGAATGACAAAAAGAATTATCTTCGATAGCAGCTTATCTCAATACATGGGATGAAAGCTCCTGAGTGATGTCTGTGCTTCACAAAGTGTACTCGTGCACTTTTTTATATTTGATGTTCAACAAAATGTTGTTTATTTCTCGATGGAAAAAAAAGAAGAGACATCATAATGGATTGGTTTGAGCTTCGTGTCAGATTAAACTGTGTCACACAGTCCAATGGTTCTCTAACTAATGTCAGCTCATGATGAAAATCCTGTAACCAATCAAATCCCTACAAACCAACACTTAAACGTTGATCAGACTGAAGTTATTACTATCACTATATATTAACAGAAACAAATAAACTACTAACAATTTATGAGTAGTAAAAGTAATTACCAATAAAATTTGTTGTTAGAATTATTGCGCTAGACAGATTATTCAACTTACTTTTTCTCGGCAACTTTGAACAGTGTTTTGGGACAGAGGTTTTATTGCCGTTATCACTGACTTCACCGGTTTCATTTACACCAGATACAACACGTGGCCAGACAAGCATAAAGTGTGACCTGTCTAAAATAGTCAATGAAGATTAATGACAATAATAATAATAATAATAATAATAATAATAATAATAGCTATATTCTAGAAACTGCGTGTAAATGCGCTAAAGAGATTTAAGCCTGTTTCACTGCTCAGTATATTACATCTCATGGTAATTCTAAGAATAAAATAATAATCGATAATTTGTCATTTGAGGCAATATTGTTCTAACCAAACGACATCCAAGCTCCACTAAATCTATTCCCCTTTATTTTCTTCGATGACCAACTGAGCACAGAGTGTGGTATCTGCGGACGTAAATGGATGATCAGAACAGTATGTAGTTTTAGTGAATATGTCACATTTCAATGGATGAAAACTTACTTAACCTCGTTAGTGATCTAATTAAACCGCTTTAAATAACATTCGAAAGGAGATGTGGAAAAAATTCTTCTGGTTTTCTCATGAGATAGAGGTCAGTCGCTAACTTAACTCGAATCCTATCATTACTGGTATTGGAAATCAATACGCCCACAGCGTTCTTCAAACTTCGTCTTCTTTTTTAATGATAACAGCTTGATGCCACACCGTATTTTCAGTACAAGTATGGGATTTTCAGCAAGTGATAACGGTAGCCCAAATTTTGCAGGTCGACAACAGATATCGGATGTGCGTCGGCAGCGAATCGGACCTCGGACCATATGCATGGTCGGCGAGAGTCCTAACCACTGTGCCACCGACGCATAGTTTCCTTTATCCTCTCCTATTTGTCGTCGTTGGGGTAGTAGAATTTTCCAGATATCTGGATGGACAGGTGTTGAATCATTCCTATTACATGTATTTGCAGTCGATTCGATAAACAAAGCTTCTGTTATCAATCGATCTCTCCCTCCATTCACCCTGTGACATTAGATTTTAAAACTGTCATCCTATCCCATCCTATCCTATTGTATGGTTGTGTGTGTAATTGCATGTGGTGTAGTGCTATGGATGAATTATACTCTAGGCTTCTTATCTTATTCGGGTCAACCAAATACTGAAAAGCCATACTCAATCTGACACAAGACACAGTGTACTCAATTAATCATGCACGCACTGACACACCCACACGCTGCAAACTGGATGAACTCGCGCGCTCACTTTGACATGGATGTGTCCATGAGCACCTAGGTGGACGTGGACTGGGGAATACAATACAAGGAATACGAAGGGGGTGTGGAATCGAGAGACGGAGGTGGTGAGGAGGGCGATGTTGCACAAGGAGAATTCCAGTTTCGGATGATGACCAGTTGATTTTCGACTTGTATTTGGAGGCGTATTCCGAGGACTGGGATCAGGCGGAGTAAGTAAGTGGGTGGATGTGAGAGTGTGTGTGACTGGCGGTTGCTTGTAAGTGAAAGTGGTGCATGTTGAATTGGTCGGTGTGTTTGTTGTTGTGTTTGTGGTGGTGAATGCAGCTGTGAGTAATTCGGAGTGTGATGTCACGTTGAAAAGCAGATGTTTCCGCCCAGGCTCGAACTGGGGACCTTCTGTGTGTTAGACAGACGTGATGACCACTACACCACGGAAACCTCACAGATGGACTCACCGCTCGTCAACTCCCAACAATCACAATCACAATCACCACACACAACCATCAACATCCTATGCGCCAATCCAGGCTCACGAACACCTGTCACATGCAAACAACCACACAACACAAAATGAAAACAACACCGCACCACCCACCACACAATACACACACACGCACACACTCACAGCAGTACAGATTGCAACACTGAGATCCACAGGTAAACACTCCTTCGGTCGAAACAGATAGGCGAATGGATATACACCGAATAGAAGATGCATACCCACAGTCATGCGAAATGTCGACACACATACCAAACACTGACGGGATCAAAGTCGCATGCACACACACACACACACACGGACAGACACAGTCAAACTCTATGAATTACACACTCACACAACACATGTCACATGGAAATCATACCATACCATCTCTCCGGAGTGTCCATATCGCGATTCAGGCGATTGCAGAAACTCGTCCCCGTATTATTTCTGCTAGTGGTTAATGCGGTCAGCATATGGTCAAGAGACAGTAGTTTTTAACTTCCCTTCTTCTTTTGTTTTAACGCTGCAATCCAACATATAAGAGACGCCATGATACTTTTTGATACCCTGACAAATTTTTCAGGTAATATGTAGGGAAATTTCGAAATAAAATAAATTATATTTATTGTGGTAATGATAATAAGAATAATACTAATATTAATGACGAATTGCATGTCATATATGCCAAAGTCAACACCAACAATAAGGAATCTAAATGATCAGCAGTAATTCCACACAAGGAAGGAACTTCGGGAATCATATGCAGAATTCCTAACAATGTAGACAGTAATAAAGTGGCATTCCAACCCACAAACTCAATTAGAAACAAGCTTTGTCGGTTAAAGGATCAATCCTGTGGAGCCTTTAAAACAAAACAATTTAGTTTATCTAATACCCTGCTTGCGATGATTGTCAGGTCAAATACATAGGTCAAACTAGTAGAACAGGGGCAGTTAGACTAGCCGAACATAGGTTGGTTGACCCGAGTAAGATAAGAAATCTATAGAATAGTTCAGCTATAGCACTACACCACATGCAATTACACACACAACCATACAATAGGATGGGATGGGATAGGATGACAGTTTTAAAATCTAATGTCACAGGGTGAATGGAGGGAGAGATTGATTGATAACAGAAGCTTTGTTTATCGAATCAACTGACAGGGAATACGTGTAATAGGAATGATTCAACACCTGTCCACCCAGATATCTGGAAAATTCTACTACCCCAACGACGACAAATAGGAGAGGATAAAGCAAACTATAAAACCCAAGTTTCGAAATCGTGTGATTATAATTGATGGCATGATTATGAACAATAAATTTCGTTCAAAACGTCATCCAGTAAATAATCCTATTTCACTGTGTGAAACATCTAATAAACAAACTAATGTAGAAATCAACATGGATTTTACCATGATATTAGAAGTGGTTGAATTGTTCTCTTTCGTATACAGAGCTTCGGTTTCTTCATCTGAGTTATTATAGCTTCAGTAATTCAAACGGTACAAAAGCGTATCGTTTCTGATAGGTTGTTCTTCACTTTGTAGATTAATTTGAGGGAGGCGGTTGTTAAGATGGAGTGACCAGTGTTGACAAGGTGTTCTATTATGTCACTCCTTATAGAGTCACTACTAGCTTTCGGCAACTATGAGGGACAGTGTTCTTGATGTACTTTGGACAGGATGCGCCTCGGACGACCAAGTTACTTGGTTTCATAAGAACATCTGAACTGATAGAACTGACGAGTGAACTGTACATAGATATGGTAGGATTTGAGATCTTGTCTTCAAGGCCTCTACAAACCAATGGATTACTGGATAACACTATTCTTAGCGTTGGCGCGAAGAATATTCTTCTCAAGGATGATGCACTTCTTCTCTTAAGGATATCATAGGTTAAGTTTCTCTTGAAAATTGGTCCATTTAAAGTTTTTCTACTGGAACAAGTAATGTTTCTTTCGATTTTGACGTTTGGTTTGATATACTTATTAATGAATCTTATATCCATTTTGGATGAGGGTTTCTTTCAGAAGATCTAGGTCTGCAATGCAGATGAGTCATCATTTGGTCGTTCCACACTGAGAAATTCTAATAACTTTTATTGTGACAACTCATCACCTTTTATACTACCCTTTTTTATGAAAAGTTGTATATAAGTGCAATTGTACATCTAAAAAGAATGAATCTACCGCAAAGACCCTTTTCGTTGACCGGTGTGTTTTGTTTTCCATACATTTGTCTTTCTTCCATTCCGTTGAGTTCCAAGTGGAACATAGGTCTTCATGCTTGAGGTCTGAAGTTGCCGTACCCCACACCTTATGATACTATTTAAGTAGGAATAAGGCTGTCAATATATATACACCTTATCGACAAATTTACTAGTGTTAACGTAGATTTTCTATGACTAAGAAGGTACTCAGTGATGGATACTGCAGTTTAACTTCTCTCAGCCTGACTGCCTTACTTCCATTTCGAATTTCCTAATCGTCTGGAGGCTGTTTCCTGATTGCCCACTATCCAATTTGTCAGTGTTTCAAATTTAGAGACGGTACTTAAAGGTGGTGTTGAATATCAATGATTTCTGATGGTAAAGTGTGTAAGAAGGTATGAGAATATGATAGTGTCATTGGAAACCACAGTGCTGTGGATATATGTTCCGAACCTGCAGAAATGAATACTCATGACCACCCCTTCCCCGCGAGAAATCTAATTCATAACTTCAAGTTATCAGGCCTAGCCCGTTTAACTTTCGGGTGTCAAACTGGTATCCAAAGACGCAAGGATTGCTCGACTTGCATCTACTTCCAAGTATTTGACTACAAACTTGACCTAGTGGACCACACCGGTAGAAAGGTACTTGCATGGATAAGTGGTACTGTGGTACTGTACTGGCTAATCACACATCAACATTACGGCATACAGAAGTTGTTTTTTTTAATTTGCTGACAATGTAAAAATAACATAATTTCTATTAGTGCCTTTTAATCAACTCACTTCCTTTTGGATAATAGACACATTGGTGTAAGTCAGCGTCAACGTTGAAATTTTCTATGGTTTGACAAGGCTGATAAACAGCAGGTAGTTTAAATGGAGCTTTCAGATTAATTGGCAGTTTAATTGCACCGATTGACTCTTCATTACGACAACATGCTCTGCCTGAATTTTCCAATGTAAAACCTAAACGTACAACTCCACTTTTTGAAATGAAGCCTAAACAGAGGGAAAAAAATCCAGTTAGATTGAAAGAAATGTAGGAAGAAACTCAGATAGCTTTGTTATATATATATATATATATGTATGTCCGGGGTTCGACCCCCGGCCGACGAAGCACTCCTTTACCTCGCTAAGCCAGAAATAATGCTGGTGAAGAGGAAAGGTTGGGCAAGAGGCTAGCAACCCCATCCTGTAAAATAAACACTGCTACAGAAACTTCAAACCACTAGCTTGAAGCCCTATGTTCCACTGGGGAACAAATTTGGACAGTATTCTTCCAACTGCATGCTGTGTATGTTAGGATCAGGAAGGCAGTAAAGGTATTCACTACTCTGAAGTTATTGTGCAGATATACAGCTTTCAGCACAATGAAAAATATTTGAATCTTAAGCAGTAATGTAAAGTCAGTGCTTCCATGTGGTTCCGAGACTTGCCGCACATATTGTAGTGAGAGCTGTCTGCAAGACAAAATTGTAGACAACAATTGACACCGGCGTTTACGTCCTAAATCGGAGTTATGAGAAAGAAAAAAAAAACAAGAACAAAGCCTAACCTTGAGGAACTCAACAACCAATCACAGCAGACTTAACGTGGGTGGATATGATTCGCAGATAGATCACCGGACTGTCTAAGAAACAGCAACAAAGAGATGATAGAATAACCTTCACCAGGAAAACAACCAATCACAAGACGATACCTCTCTGCTAACAATAACGCTAATAATAATGATGTGCATAAAAATCTATAAATATCTGTTGATTTTCTGAATAAACGATCTGTTGCTTGGCGGTTGTCTTCTGTCGTCACAATATCACTAAAGGCATTTTCAACATGCTACTGTAGGCTTTCATCAACACTTGACTTCACTTGATCCTGATGATCATCAGATGGACGGTCAGCAAAAAGATAAGCGGCAAGCAATCCTAAAGCGGCATTCGAATTAGAGAGCGACAAGTTTGGCGGCTGAGGCTAAAATGGAAATATTATGTGATGGAGTGGAAATAAAAGCCTATGGAAAGTCTTGGAACTGGCTGAAAGTGATGGCACATTACCGGGTATGATGAAGTCTAAGTGCAAACTGGACTACTAGAATTCATTCAACACCAACACCGTGGACTAAACAGATGATATCAGCTACATCCTAATGGAGTCTAACCATCAACCTTTAGAGCCTTATTGTACTTCTCAGACTGTATAACTCGATGATGAAGGCTGGAATCTCCGATAGGATATCAATCGCCGTGGTGAATTATTTATTTTGTTATAGCCGAGATTTATACTAATATAATTTTTACGTATACAGACTATTATGCCTTTGAAGACTGTTCATCTAGTCGCATATGTATCTAGAGCACACCTTAAAAAAAGATCTCACGGCTAGTTCAATCACGACTAGTATAAACATCTGATGGTCTTAGAATCAATTCATCAATTCAGTATGGCATTGTACACTCTATTAACATTCAATGATATCAGCTGATAGGGAAGATTATCATGCAGTGAAACCCAAATTATGTGTGCAAAAAGTGACTGTTACTAACTTATTTACTACCTTGGTCAACACTCTCCTTCTCCTCTTACCTTTTGGCTGAATAACTTTGCATGTGACTACTTGCCTGCCTCGACCTGTGTACGAATTGCCTTTAAATTCTAGAACAATTTTCTATATGCAGTATATAATGTCTTTATTTTGGTTATAATTCAGTATTCCAACTTCTCGTATACTTTGTACCACAACTGTATTTCTGACATTGTCATTCTACGGGGTATTCAGTTAAAGTACTTTTAAATTACTCTTTCAGATATGATGGAGAAGATTTGTAACTCAAGTGGATGATTTTGATGTGGTTGTGTTCTCTGAGCTGGATAGTTAATTTGTGAGGCTTTCATCGCCCTACTAGGCAACATCTTCAGCGCACACTTCAATTCGTTGAAGTGAGCTTTTACATTTCTCCACGAGTCTATTATTCATCTCTCCTGGTGACCTTGCACGTGACTGGTTGTTTTGTGTGTTTTCACACCTTCAAGGCTACTTGTATTGGAGCTGATTGTTTCTTTGACTTTGTGTGTTAGGTTTCCTTCTTATCTGTTGGTAAATTTTGTCCGTTTCGATGTATCTATTGATTGATGATTCACTGGAATACCACGCCTCTAAAAATTCTCTAGCATTCTTGGTGTTTCCTCTATCTAATATTTTAACGTTGTCCCAGTCGAATTGATGTCCGTGGTTGTCTGTATGTAGTGATATGAGGGAGTGGATGTCATGTCTTTTGATGGCTAGGTTATGTTCATGGATACGAAGGCGAAGGGGACGTCCACTTTGGCCAATGTAGTGTTTTTCGCAGTTGTTACAATTTATTTTGTTGGTTTTTTCTTCTTTCGTTGTTGAGTCTTTTGGTTGACATACAGCTGAGTGAATTGATTTTGTTGGTTTGTGTGCAAAGTTGCACACATACGCACACAAAGACAATCAATCGCCTTCAAGGTCACCAGGAGACATGACTAATAAACTCGTGGAGAAATCTAAAAGCTCACTTCAACGAATTGAAGTGTGCGCTGAAGATGTTTCCTTGTAGGGTGACGAAAGCTTCGCAAATTAACTATCCAGCTCAGAGAACACAATCACATCAAAATTACTCTTTCATATTCATTGCTGATGCAGTTCATATAATTCAGATGGCATGCAACTGATGAATATCCCATGGAATAGAATGAATTCATCTTGTATCCTGTGAAAGTTGTTCTTATTGACTTATACAATATATATATATATATATAGCAAGTGAAGTCCTGAACTCTACATACAGAAGAAGTTCGTTCAATCACTACACTTGCAATGGACGTAATCTATCTTATTAGCCGACATGTAAATTCTACCTAATCTTTTCTTCTGTCTCTTCATTAGTATTATTTTGTCTTCTCAATTGTAACATTTTACATTTTCAACTTTCTTGTTCTCTACCCCCACCCGATTCAATTTCCACACCTCACTACCACTGTTACTGACTTGAACAACGCTCAGTTTCTAGCCATTCATGTTACGTCATCCAACTTATTCACTCAATTTCACTTCTACTTAATCTCTACCTGTAATTACCTCTGTTGCTATCCTGACCTAAGTTGTAACATTTTGGCCAATTATATTACGTCATCTAGCTTTTTAACTCAATCTTACTTACTAGATTTTCTGAGCACATTCCTAAGAGTCTCCGTACAAAAGGAAGAAAAGTGTTATCAAGTGCAATCGCCAGACATCTAATTGACACAGGACACACAGTAGAAATCAGCCAAGCCTTCAAAATAATCAATACACAAAGAAACCCAAGGCTAATTCGCTTCGCAGAAGCCATTGCTATCAAGAGATTTCGACCAGACCTTTGTATGCAGAAAGATAGTGTAATTAATCTTTCACTACCTTGGTAACCCTAACTCTATTTTATTTTTGTTTTGCCTTTCTGTCAGTATGCCTGTGTGTTTGTCTTGTTACGTAACATTCTATTCAATTTTGACCTTCAAGTTTCTAAATCTACTTAATTGTTTGTCTGTTTAAGTTATAAATGTTACTTCACTATTCACCCCCACCCTCTTAAACTCTCCACCACAAGATGCGTAAATTTACTTTGTTCTCTGATCCTGACCCTGTAATATCCCTCTAACCAATCTGTGTTGTTTTCCAATAGAAATCTGAACTCTTACCCCTCTTATCTAATTCCACTATATATAATTAGTTGTTTTTTGACACCGAATAACCTGTCTACCTACATCAAATTCTGGAATTATGTTCCTTATGCCTTCTATCTATAACTCAAAGTATTTATATATAAATGCGATTGTACAGCTATGTGAATGAATTCGCCATCGAAAAGAGTCTCTTCGCTGAATGTCTTCTTTTTTTCATATAACTCAATGGGGATTTTCAATCTTCTCTTCAAATCATGGAATATACACATTGGATCATAGGAATTATTAAAAAGACGGTTGTAGAGAAGCATATTTTCTTCTGGACGAAGTCATCAACTAGGCTATGCATTCTTGTGTGTGAGGAAGTTCCAGAATTATTTCCGGTAAAAGGTTAAATTAATAAAATTACTATGTGTAATAAACAAAAGATAGGCAGTAGTAATATTCTATAGACACTTCAGGTCAAAGGTCAAATTAATAATATTACAAAGTGTAATAATCAGGAAGATCGGGTGGAGAAGACATAATAAGATTATAATTACTGGGAAACTCGTCAGTTTGTGTAATTATGGATTAAGGATGTGGTATTAACAAAATAGGTAAGGAGTCCGGACGTATAAAAATAAAAAAATATCAACCAAATCTAGGAATGCAGATAGGAATTAAAAACTTAAAATAACAGGTATAAACCGAAAGTTTGGACAAGAAAGGTGGTTGGGTAATCATCATTGGTGAGACTGACTTTTCATGATGGCCACGATAGGGACAACGGTTGGACGTATTTCTCTTGAACAGATAGAGTGGGCTTGAGGTTTTTTGGTAGTCAATGCCTCAGCTATTCCTAGATGTCTTGGTTTCACTCCCTTTGATAGGTTTGATAGGATCTTGTATATGACTTTGAAGGAATTTTCAAATGTGACTGAATGTCGGGAATTCACTAGATATTCTGCTACTGAACTGTATACACCTTTGCTTTCTCCCTTTGCTGAACTTTCTGGATAGTGCCCTCGAGCGCCTTTTACAAGCGGACGCATGGTACGGCCAATGTACTTGACTCCACACGAACAAGTGAACTGGTACGTTGGTTAGAGAATTATTATCTAAAAAAACCTACTTCAAAACCTCATTGACGCATACCATATGTTGATTTGATCCTCATTTTTACTTGTCTTTTTCCCTGTTTAGCTCTCATTTTTTTAATGCTTTTCTTTGTGGTTGTATGGTACATTCATGATGTAATGTTTTACGATGTGATTTTGTTTGAGTGAATGAAGGCCATTTTGGCCTTGGACTGTCTGCGAGAATTGTTGGGGTGTGAATTTTGTGGACAATGTTTTGATCCCACCTTGTTGGGACTATTCTACTTGATTCTAATTATTTATTTTCTCCTTCGAAAATAACCTTGACTGCATAACTGCCCAACGCTATTGTTGAGGTAATTTAGGGATTTTGCTGCTAATACTGTTGAACGGAAACCCAGATTCCAACAACGAATAATAGTCCTTTAGCTGTCTTTGAAGTGGTTTTTGACTATACGTCTCTCAAAGAAGTTTCCGGTAGCTGTATAGTTGGACGCAGAGACCGATGTACAGCGTCAAGACCACAGCGAGTCATTTTTGGTTGCCATATATATAATATATATATGAAAGTTCCCCATAAACAACCTTGTTTTGCCAACGGTGTATAGATTTCGGTCTTCCTTCCCAATGCTTACTTATGGTCACACTTTTATAGCCTCCATCATGTGAGTCGTGTTCACTGTCTTCACGTTGGACGGGTCTTCCTCACAAAAGTGAGAGGTCCAATGTAGACGTCTAACGCTTAAAAAAGGTCAGGTGGTCATGTTGGTCTACCAGCGGCAGCTGGAAAACCCTGATCCTAAACCTATGGTGTACAGGAGTTCCAGAATCCGAATGAACCTACGTTGATCATCAGCAACCACGGTGAAGCAGATCTTGATACTGCCCACTGCCTCGTGAATCAGACTTTATGTCAATGGCTCTTGATGCGGCTCCTTAAGACACGCATCTATCCAATCTGAACATCCGGACAGTATTTCGGCCCTCCCATATGCTATGAGATTTTGTGTGAAGTATCTCTTGATGCCCATAATTACTAAGTTTGTGTTTCAAAAATAATAATAATACATATATATATATGAAATTATTACAGTTTACCTGGAGGACATGTCGCTGATAACTGAAGGAAACAGTATTTTCCCGGTGGGAAAATGACGCTAGAGTTAGCCGCAAATCCACAAGTAGCTCCATCATAATTCATCATATGTCGATATCCCAAACCATCACAGTCGTAACGTAGAGATTTGACACCGATTTCCGCTAAAGATTAAAACAAATATTAGTAGCTCTAAATGAACATTTTAGGTTATTTTAAGATGCTATACATATTTTTCACAACGCATCATTTTCTCACCAAAAAAATCCTTTAACATCATCCTGAAGGTCGACATGATTACACTTTTCTAACAAAAACCAGGCATCTAGCTTCGAACTAGTGCTGCAGATATAGTTGTATTCTTTATAAAGGATGGATATCAATTGCGTAGCTGTCATTCTCTTCACAAGTCAGTTTATAAGGATTCGATTTGTTTCGATATTTTGGTCAGAGACCAGTGTCACCTAGAGAACAATTGAAAAAAATAGCTGGGAGTACCGGACAGCCGTGTCATTTCAATTTAGTACTTCCCAGCAGAACATTCCCACAACTCCACTGGAGATCGGATCGAAGACCTTCAGTTTAGGTGGCAAAGGTGCCTGAACATTCAGCCTCTTCGGCCCACTGTCTTTCTAGGTTGTGTCTCCAGAGTTCATCTGAAGGTGAGTCTAGCTTTAAGAATTCTCCAAAGATGAAATATTTTTCTCTCTCTCTCCTGTGATCGATTGAATTTTTAGATTTCTTTATGGTTGTATCTGCTTGCATTGGTAACTGATCTTCCTCTTTTTTCCTTCACGTTCCCAGTGGAACATAGGGCTTCAAGCTTGTGGCTTGAAGTTTCTGTAGCAGTGTTTATTTTACAGGATGGGGTTGCTAGCCTCTTGCCCAACCTTTCCTCTCCACCAGCATTATTTCTGTCTTAGCGAGATAAAGGAGTGCTTCGTCGGCCGGGAATCGAACCCCGCCATTTGCATTGACGGCGTCCTAAACTCTATGCCACTGATCTTCTTACTGATTTGATAATTGAATGTTATACATTTATAAAGATCATATTTACTGGGTTGTATAATGGAGTATTTTGATTTGTGTCAGTATTCTACCTTTCCATCTTGTTTTCGCTCCTTGTGTTGGGTATCGATCGCCCTTCAGCTACCCCAAAGAATACCTACCACGGAGTGCGAACGCACCAGTGACCTTGAACGCATGTCATTCGTTGGATTACAGAACCTGCTTGTTATTTTATCGCCAGCATGCAGGCTGTGCATGCCATGTGCCATTTCATCCTGATATCTGCACCGAAGATAGGACTAGACACATCACACTAGTTACTGACTAGTGTTCAATCAAAAATATCGAATACAGTCCTACAGGAGGTCAGTCGCGAGCCTGAATAGCTCAGTGGTAACGTCTCTGACTGCAGCACTGGGTGACGCGGGTTCGAATCTCAGAAGGGACATCAGTTCCTTCAAGGTTGCAGATACGCCTTATTGATGAGTGCCAACTAGCACGAAACCTAGGTCCAAGGCTTCCTGCCAATTGCCTCCAACCATCTAATACCATCCTGATATCGTTCTTAAGTACTATGTTGAATAATGTTTGGTTGATAGCACGTTAGGGTTACGATTACTACTATGGCTGGGGTTGTAGTTAGGATTACAGTTAAGGTGAAGACTACAGTATCTTACTATTTGTAAAAAATTATATTTGTAAAATCTCAGCGAAATTGAAATGATTAATTCCAACGTTTCTTGTGTTCGGCAATCTGGTCCGAACTTCTTCAGGGAAATTAATCGAAATTAACATAACAGAGGTTTATATATATATGAAAGGAACAACTCTTGTTTTTAAATTCTTTGTCCATTCATATGAATCATGAAACAGGTATCAACAGGTATAATAAACACAAATTGTATGAATTGTGATCATAATTTGACCTCAGACTTTCAAAATTAGTCTACTTTTGAATAAGGAATTCAGAAGACAAATTTCGCGAGATGATGCCATCATTTCGTTGTTTCTTTACAACCGCTTTACAATAATAAAATAAAGCTCATGACAATTACTCAGTTAAATAAAAAACAAAAGTACATACTAACGACCAATCCTATTTAGATAGGTCATGTAGTCCATGGTAGGCGAAGATTGAAGTCTATTGTTTCTTGTACACACAGTTTAGGCTGTATGTGATTAATCCCCAAAATGCTTCCATCACCTTCAATAACCTTGAATTAGAGTTATGTGAAATAATTGTGAAACAGTCATTAATATTGATTTTGTGACCTGACATTAATAAGTGTTTTGCAATGGATGATGCTGGATTTCTATTCAGATTATTCGCATTGGGATTTTCTGTATGATTTAGTAGCCATTTTGGAACATGTTCTTTTCGACCACATTGGAACATTCTGTTGGTCCTACCTATATAGGTGTCACCGCAGCTGCAGGTGAACTTGTAGATACAGTTTGAAGTAGAGTCCACAGAATTTCGTCCTTTAATCGTAGGTACAGGGATCGAAAATGTTCGGCAAGTGAGAAGAAGAGATGCGGAGTAGAATGTGCGTTTGTTAAAATATATATGTGTGTATATGCAGTATACAACGGTGTGTGTATATGTGTGTGTGGGTGAACAGTCATAAAACATGTGTTAGTCCCTCCATAAGAAGACGTAGACAATCGGGAAATTTGACCAAGTGTGACTAATTGTTGATACATATACAATTTTTATTTATTAGTCAAGATTTGCCATGCATCAGCTAACATCACACCTTCACTTCTGTTCAAACTGTTGGGATAAGACTAAGGTTCTACAGAAAGGTTTTGGTTCATATAAAAAAGACTGACTGCAGAAGCCCTGCATATATTAATTTCATATATACTCCTATGTGTGTAATAAATAAAAATTGTATATGTATCAACAACTAGTCATACTTGGTCAAATTCCCGATTGTCTACGTCTTTTTATGGAGAGAATAACAAATGTTTTATGATTGTTCACTCCCACACACCATTGTATACTCCATATGCACATATATTTTAACAAAAGTAGACTAATTTTGAAAGTCTGAGGTTAAATTTCGATCATAGTTCATACAATTTTGTTTATTATACCTGTTTCATATGTTTGGACAAAGAATTAAAAAATTTTGCTTATTAGACATGTTGATGCCTGTTTCACGACTCATGATTGGACAAAGTTTCAGAAACAAGAGATGTTCCTTTCATACATAAACCTCTGTTATGTTAATTTCGATTAATTTCCATGAAGAAGTTCGGACCAGATTACCGAACACAAGAAACGTTGGAATTAATCATTTCAATTTCGCTGAGATTTTACAAATATAAATTTATAAATGTCTACTTCTCACTCGGCGCTCAATTGTTTTACAACTATCCGGTCAAATCTTGAACACAGTTCATATGAAGTATCTTATTATTGTCTGTATTTTTTAAGTAAACAAATTTATAAGAGGAGAGTATTTATTTCCTTGTTCATGTAGATGAAACTGTTTTCATAGCTATGAAACCTGAAAACTGATAGTCAGTCATTGTAACTGGTCGGTATTTTTTTAGATACGATAGCTTCTGTAATCCAACGCCTAATAATATGCATTGAAGGTTGGTTTATTGGTGCGTTCTCACTCCGGGGTCGCTATTCTTTACATGTGTCCACACTTATTTGTTGAGTATACAGTAGACACTTTCCGCCTTAACTTGAATATATACACATTGTTGAATACTGACAAACATGAAACTTCGATGAAAACCAAATATCACTGCAAAACACAGAGCGATATGGATGCATATTGATAAGGGGAGGCCAAAAATTAAAATTTGCATTTCAATTCGCATTTCAAGTCGATGAATGTAAGGGTAAAAAGTGTTTATTCCTTAAATCTGGATTCATTTTGCGTTGTAATCTGCAAATAATCTCATTGAATAACTTTTCCTCCCACTGTTTAACCGTCGACCAATCAAAAACAATCGGAACAGTTTACTGTCAGCTGAGGTGGCCAGCTTTTAATGTAGTTAAAAATGTATAAACATGATGCGTTATTCCTTAATAAAAAATAGTCCGTTACTAGTTCTCCTGTCTTCTGAAGTCACATATATGTCTGCAAATAATCACTTACAAAGAACTGTTTTTGCTTCCTTATGTTTGAAAGTTTGAGGTCTATCCCTGCATTAGGATAATAAATAAAACAACTTTTGTCCCAAAGAAGTTATATTGCACGGATTTATTTGGTTTCTAAACTTCACTTCCAGTTCAGTATTTGTTTATTCAACATAGTGTGATATAATAGGTTGTTTCTAAACGGTAGCTCATATCAAAAATCGCCCACAAACTGACATCATTTAGAGAGCCATTGTAGACCAGGCGGTACTGGACAGCAGTTTCCTCCTTGTTTGGGATTCTTTAGCAATACTCACGGATAATCCCAACAGGTATTGAACCTAGAATCTTCAGGTTACAAAGCGATTTCGTTGACCATTTCAGACACTGAGGTAGAATCCACTGGCCTATCAAATCTATTATTATTATATTATTTTTCCCTTGGGTTCCTAGTGGTACATAGAGCTTCAACTACACGTCTCCACTTGCTTCTGTCTTCTGCTGTACTTTTCACCTGCATCCATGTTAGTCCATACTGTTTCAGCTCCTCTTCACATGATCTCCTCCATGTCACCCTCGGACGTCCCACTCGCCGCTTCCCTTTCAGGTTCCACTCGAGCACTGGCCTGACGCGCGATGTCACTCAACGACCTCCTCAGCGAGTGTCCAATCCATCTCCACTTTCTCCTGAATATTTGTTGAGCGACTGGTTCTTGTTTCCTTTGTCCCCATAGTTTCTTGCTGGTTATTCTTTCCGGCTATCTGATTTCCAGTATGGAGCAAAGACAGTTATTGATGAAGTTCTGAAACCTGTTGGAAATATTCTTTGTGACATATTGGCCAAGTTTCTGATCCATCCGTACAGAAGAATTGACTGACTTTACGTTTGTATTGAAAATCCGAATCATTTTGTTGCTGTTGCTGAGTGAGTGTCGAAGATTTGCAGATTGGTTTCAGGTTGATGAATGTGTTTCTCGCCTTCTCGATTATCGTCTCGATTTGACATCCTCGTCCGTTCCTCCTGTGGTTGAGACAATGCTCCCTAGATAAGTG